CTCTCCCTCTTTTTGCTTACTGACTAGTGTTCACGCAGTGTTTGTGTACAAACAACCAGAACGTAACAACTGGTGGCCAGTATGGGGGAGACGATATGGTCGAGTGGTTGGGCACACGATTGCTATCCCACTCGGCGCGGGTTCAAATCTATGTGTTCTAGTCAGTAACGCACGGGTTCCCAACCTGGGGGTCGCGACCCCCCTGGGGGTCGCGAAGGGCTTTCTGGGGGGTCGCCAACTGGTATAATAAACCTTAGTAATTTGAAACAAAACATAAATATTTAGAAGAATTTTTAAAATTCGGCTTTACTAAAATCACTGGAAAGGGAATAGAGAAGAAGCAAAAAGCGTACTGTACAAAGTTTTTCTCAGTCACGAGTTTATGATATGGAGTTCTTTCGTCGGTATGAAGCTAGTTGTAAGCGTCAGAAGAATCTGCATTGACACATTATCCATTCTCTTCTTTCCTCGATGTTGCCAGCATTCACGATGAATTACAAGATGAATTCTTTGATTTGTAGAATGATTCCGCGTAAGATAAACAAGTTAATTAAAAAAGTATAGTGACATTTGTGCGCAATTTCCTTATGTTATCTAAAAATAGCTCTGACGTATAATGTTGGGGTGCGTTCAAGCTAGAAGAACGATCGGTTTGTAGGTGTTTATGTAATTTTCAAATTTGTGACCGAACGAGAGGATATTTTTGAAAACTTTCTTCGGCAATATTGTTCTAAATTATGACAGGAATCGATTGGTAAAGGTTTCAAGTCGCTAAGTGGTCTGGTTGCCGAGATATGGGCCAAAAACGGAATTTTTTCGAGGTTTTTTTTGCTTTTCCGGGAAATACATGAAGGAAACCAGGAATTTTTATGGCCTATGCTCATTCTCGTAACTTGCTTAACATAATTGCTTTTGGAACTAGTCATCGATATTGCTTCGTTGAGGAGGAGATACGACTTAAAGCCCGGACACACATTCATCCATACATTCATTCATCCATCCATTCCCAGAAATGACGAGTTAATAAACGCAATTCTCCAGAATGGAAATTGCGCTAAAAACTGCACACTCAATTTTGGTGTAGTATTCACCATTCATACCCAAACGTAAAATTGATTGATTTTTCGAGAATAGATTTTCAACACTATTTTTCGATTAAAAATAAAATTAAGTCTTAATTTTATTTTTAACGCCAACCTATGTCATTATCATTATCTTAATAAGATAATGATATTGACATAGGTTGGCGTTAACAAAAAAAAATGCTTTTAAAAAAAATTAACCACGAATGTTTAGTGAATAGTATGCAATTTTACTCATGGTATTAAAACAGTTATCAAGAGTAGTTCATATTGAACGTCTACTAGAAAATGTTATTTTAGTGCTTATTAATTTCCATACTAAATTTCGGCTTTTTAATTCTATGGGGGTCACGGGTCACTTAATTTTTATAAAAGGGGGTCGCCACTCGAAAAAGGTTGGGAACCACTGCAGTAACGTATTCACACAACGAGTTTTTTACGAGTTGTCTTTTTACGAGACTTTAATGCTATACAACTTTTACGAGATTTTAATGCAAACAAACAGACAAAGGCTAAAAAGTAGAAAATAATCATTAAAAAAGTTTTAAAAAACCCACGTTTTCTGATTGAACTAAAAAGTAGAAAATAAATGTTATACATCACAATAATACAAGCGATCACTCTACTATAAGCGATCAAAAACGTGGGGCGCCGTGATTTTCTTACAGTTTCTAATACTATTGACTTTTATTAGGGAGCTTGTAGAGTCAACAGTATTAGAAACTGTAAGAAAAACACGGCGCCCCACGTTTTTGATCGCTTATAGTAGAGTGATCGCTTGCATTATTGTGATGTATAACGTTTATTTTCTACTTTTTAGTTCAATCAGAAAACGTGGGTTTTTAAAAACTTTTTTAATGATTATTATTTTTATAAATTAAATTATCAAAATAATTGTTACCAATATAATGTGCTTGCATCATTTTGATTTTTATATAATTTTTGCAGTTGAAAAAAAAATAGAAATATGTGACAATTTTATGAAATTATGATTTTTAGTGTTGGAGGGAATCGAGCCTCATCTGCCCGAGGTTTCGAACGCAAGACTTTTCGGTTTAGCAACCATGAACTTTACCGACTCGACAACGCCGACCCTTAACATTTTATGTAGATTGAGACAACTGTATCTCGCTAAAAGGTTCTGTCCCCTCTTGTTAATGTATAGTCACAACAGCGTACCAACGAATGTTCCCTCTGACTTTGGTGGCCGAGCGCCTCAGTTTTATACATGACACACAGTCATTCTGTGAGATACTTAAATTTGTAAACTTCTTTTTAAGGCACCGCGTACACACAATATATTCAAGCACAAGTTGTGTCCCCTTAAAGGAAATATTGACCCCGACCAAGTACAGTAAAAAAAAAAAAACCCTTGTAGGGTGGGAGTGATAGTCGTTGTCTCAAACATTATGGTATTTATGGCTGGCCATAAAACACCAGGGCACATAGTTAACAATGGCAGCTACACGATAAAGAATGGGGTAAATTGTATGTGTGTTAGTACAACATAAACGTAAATACTACTAGGGTAAGTCAGACATAACAGGCTGTCCAGAATGGTATACTGAATATAAATAAATATATAAATGAATGAATGAATGAATGAATGAATGAATGAATGAATGAATGAATGAATGAATGAATGAATGAATGAATGAATGAATGAATGAATGAATGAATGAATGAATGAATGAATGAATGAATGAATGAATGAATGAATGAATGAATGAATGAATGAATGAATGAATGAATGAATGAATGAATGAATGAATGAATGAATGAATGAATGAATGAATGAATGAATGAATGAATGAATGAATGAATGAATGAATGAATGAATGAATGAATGAATGAATGAATGAATGAATGAATGAATGAATGAATGAATGAATGAATGAATGAATGAATGAATGAATGAATGAATGAATGAATGAATGAATGAATGAATGAATGAATGAATGAATGAATGAATGAATGAATGAATGAATGAATGAATGAATGAATGAATGAATGAATGAATGAATGAATGTGTGTGTGTATACACGAAGATTCAGCTCAAAAGAACCTAAGGTTTTTATTTAGCAGGGCAAAAGTGTATGCTCAAAGGGACCGCTAAGAATCGATTTTTTGTGAGTTTTTAAAGTCAGCTTTCTATCATAAGATTATATCACGAACTGACCCGAGTAAAACAAAATTATAGGATAATAAATGGTCTAGGGCGGTTCACTGCGCATGCGCCAGTGTACCACTTGATTCTTTGGTACAAAAGGGTCACCGGTAAAGAGAAAGAGAGCGTTCAGTTCTTTCTTAATGGTGAACTGATTCTCTCCTTTCTGAAATGAGTTAATGTTGAAATAATTCAATTTTTTTTTCTGAACTAACTAAATTGTGAACCGATTGAATTCTTTCTGAACTAACTAAATGGCGAACTTATTGGATTCTTTCTGAAATAACTCAATCCTTCAATTATCAATTTTTTTTTTCAGAGCTAACATAATGGTGAAATGATTGTATTATTTCTGAAATAACTAAATGATGAACTGATTCAAATCTTTCTGAAATAGCTAGTTGAAGAAACTATTTGATTCTTCTTGACACTACTCGAGAGAGCAGGGGCCAGTTCTTGTGTTGTTTTTATTTTGTCAATATTTGCGAATAACAGTGAAACGGACATCATCATCCTTAACACTAACATTAGTTATCATACTTTGCACTTACATCAGTGACAGAACCCTTGTTGCAAATTAACAAAACTGATCTCACTTTTTTTTTACACTTAAAAGACCGTCTATATTGTTTCTGCTTGCGGTATTCTATAGATGACTGACGTTGTGGGCGGGGCTGCTATACATAACTGACATTATACATGATTGATACTATTGACGGCCTGCACATTCTATTGTATATTCTATTCTGACGATGCCAGATATTCATTAACCTCATGGATGATCAACCTTTTGATGATGCCCTCAAGGGGGGGGGGGAGTACATACCTAATTGTTCACTCTATTACCCCAATTAGTAGTCGCATAATTTCAATGTTGGTTACAATCGCATTAATGAAATCAACAACAATCAAGATAAGATTAACTGTCCACTATGAACTGTTACTAAATCAACCGGCCAATATCCGAATTAACCTTTTTATAAGCTTTTATCTGAATCACTGTGTAAACTACATGGGTGGGTGTGGGTGGGTGTGGGTGGGTGTGGGTGGGTGTGGGTGGGTGTGGGTGGGTGTGGGTGGGTGTGGGTGGTTGTGGGTGGGTGTGGGTGGGTGTGGGTGGGTGTGGGTGTGTCTCTGCAAGTTTGTGAATATTTAACCCACTTCCCAGTGTCCGATTGAGCTGAAATTTAGCACAGTGGTAGATCTTGAATAACAACACATAATATCGATATACAGTGGCGTAGCGAGGTCAGGTGTTACCCGGTGCGGCACTTAATGGTGTCACTCCCCCAGAGGCGTAGCGACCCTTCCGGGGACACATTTTCGATTTGCACCCCTCAAACTTTCGATTTGCAACCCCCCTCAAACTTTCGATTTGCAACTCCCCCCCCCCCCCTCAAGTTTTCGATTTGCACCCCCCTCTCAAACTTTCGATTTGCACCCTCCCTCAAGTTTTTCTCTATATATTTTGCTATTTTTTGCCTTGGTGTCACCCCCCTAAATGGTGTCACCCGGTGCGGTCCGCACCCCCCCCCCCCCTCGCTACGCCTCTGTCGATATATATTTTTGTTTGTTTGCTTTCAATTTTACTATCTTCAACGAACCCCCTCCACTAAACAATACCAAATACTTTTCTACCGTTCACAATGACCATCCCTTGAACGCCCATTATTTAACTACCTTAGACGAAAATAATAATGTAACTATTTACCCCCCCCCCCCTTCCACTCCCTCCCCTTACCCCACAACAGATATCCTACGCTGCAACATCTCCGGCGCTGAGCGAGAGAGAAAAATACCGGACCTTCTTCCGGCTGGCTCTCGGCGACTCGGCCCTGAATCCGGCACGCCGGATGCTGGTACAGCACAATAAATGGGACAAGATGGCCGCCCTCTACGAAGAGCATGAGTCACTTTCATTGGTGAGTTTACAAATAGTAGGCCATAAAACTAATACACGGCCTAATGAATATTTCAAATAGTAGGCCGTAAAACTAATAAATATCCTAATGAATATTCATCATTTAATACTGAATATTCATCAGCTGTGGCTAGTTTGCTTTTACTTAGTATTTTATAACCATTGTTAGCAGTAGTCATCTTATTGCTTATTTGGTGTATAAAAGTCGTTTGAGACATGAAAATATAAATAGAGCAGTAAAACATCTCTCTAGTTAACCCGGAAGTGGCTTCTTATCGAACACGCACAGCTGAACTGAATCTTGTTTGGAAATAAAATAAACAATACTTTTATTTTTAAAAATGTATCTAGTGAAATCACACATCACACAGCGTGGACATTGTTAGAATAGTTGAAGACTTGTGAATTTTTGGAAGCAAGTGTATCTAATGTTCATATTACAGACTGGTCGCAATTTTTTTCATCCCGTCCCCTTCTCATGTTATGCCCAGCTCTGCTTATTTAAATGTAACTGTGATTTTCCCCACCTAAGAATAACCCAGCAACTCAACCGGCAAATGTTTACTTGTTTTTATTTACATTTTCCCAGGCCTTCAATGAAATGAACAAAGATTTCTCAGCCCACGACATAGTCATCAAATCCTCAACGTCGTTTAAAGACGCCAGGCTGGAAGTACCTGGGCAGCTGAAGGAGATTATGGTGAGTTATGCTAGGAGACTGTCATAGCATAGATAAAATAAGACTAGACTGGTAGAGACTAATAAGGAAGGTGTGAACTTGACGGTAGACGATTTGGTGCGAGGGTATTGTACGCGTGTTTAATAAAATATTTGTGGCGTGAGTGTGAAGGAGGCGTGACCAGAGGCGTAGCGAGGGGGCGGGGGCGGGGGGGGGGACATATGTCCCCGGGCGCCGACCTTAGGGGGGGGGGGGCGCCGAATTGAAAGTTCGAGGGGGGGGGGGGTGCAAATGAAAAGTTTGAGGGAGGGGGGTGCAAATCGAAAGTTTGTCCCCGGGCGCCGGGAAGGGTCGCTACGCCTCTGGGCGTGACGCGACAATGTTACCGATGACGTAGGACGCAGGAGTGAAGACAGTTGGGGCGTTAGCCATTGTAGGGAAAGGACGTGTTTTGATATTGAGTAGTATTAGTATTTGATAATAAAGTTAAATCTATTTTATGATCGAAGTTGTTTGTTTCGTCAACTTAGTGTCGTCGGAAAATAAGAGTGTTCCCGTCCTCATCACGTTTATAGAAATATAGTTGGAGTGTTAGTTATAGGAGTTGTCATCACGTAGATTCATATAGCAACGTATACATTCGGCCCACCACAGAGACCTTGACCTTTATGATGCTCGGATGCCATGGCTTTATGATGCTAGGAGGCATTGACCTTTATGATGCTAGGAGACCTTGACCTTTATGATAGCTAGGAGACGTTGACAGAAAACTAGTATGGAAACGTTCAAGGATTGATGGTCTGGCTTGCACACGTGACAATCTGTTTACTTGTGTCAAGCCAATGTAAGATGTCCACTTACCTTGTATTGTTTCTCTCCAGGACATGGATGTACGAATCATCATCGGCGGATTTACAGAAGCGGCTGCCAGACAGGTGTTCTGTCAGGTGAATCTTCAGTTTTAATGGCATGATGGTGTTAGTGGGCGGAGTGGGGCTGGTGGTGTTAAGCGGACATTCTTATAAGAAATAACTTAAATAGGGGGACCTATTATAATTCAACTAAATTAAGCGTTAATCAGAAATAACCGCCATTATTTTTTCCACTAAAATTACAATAATTACAACTTGTAGTTTGTAGCATAACTTATGGGGAAGAGGGGGGGGGGGGTCGTGCGGCTCAAGTAGCGTTTTAAATATTTTAAAAAAATATATTAGTTCGTGAAAAAAAAATGATAGCCTGCGTTGATCTCCAACAACTAGTACAAAAGCTTATCATGGTTCGTGGGACTTAAGTGAATAAAGTATTGAATTAAGACTTTGATGATAATTGATGACTAAACGTTGTAAGTAACCCAACCTCCCCCCCCCCCCACCCCCAACCTTCTCCCCCAGGCCTACAAGCTTGGCATGTACCAGCCCAGGTACGTCTGGATCATGGTGGGCTGGCTGAAGGAGCTCTGGTGGCGAGACGTCCACGACACCAACTGCACCAAGGACGAGATGGCCGTGGCCGTGGAGGGCGCCTTCACCATCGTCAGCCTCAACGGTCTGATGGCCGACGGCAAGTCTGTGGCCAATCTGGTCAGTGCTTCAATCTGTTTTGTTTTTGCTGGGAAAATCTGGCACGTAGAATTCGGACAAATAGTTTTTTTTTAAAAATAGTGATAGTAAAATATGAAGTTAACAAATATAATAAATAGATCAGGGGTCTCCAAACTTTTCAGTCCGAGGGCCGCATTAACTATCAAATTTCAGTTCGGGGGCCAGTTTCTTCCAGGCATGTCTTTGATTTTTCTGGGCAAATTTCCTCAGCCATCACCAACAAACGTTTTTTCCTTGGACAAAAAGATTTCCGCGGGCCGGATGAGGGGACATCGCGGGCCGCATTCGGCCCGCGGGCCGTAGTTTGGAGACCCCTGAATCAAAAGGATGGGTTGGTTGATGACGTGCTATCACGTTAAGAACATTGTCACGGTACGCAAAATGTCACGTTAATTGTCTGAGTGGCATCGCGGTAAGCAAACTATCACGTCAAATCACGTTATGGTGTCACGTTGGAAATAACGTCCATTCAGTATGTCGCGCCAGTTTTTGAATTGAGCTTTCTATCATAAGATTATATCACGAACTGACCCGAGTAAAACAAAATTATAGGATAATAAATGGTCTAGGGCGGTTCACTGCGCATGCGCCAGTGTACCACGTGATTCTTTGGTACAAAAGGGTCACCGGTAGAGAGAAAGAGAGCGTTCAATTCTTTCTGAACTAACTTCTATCTGAAATAAGTTAATGGTGAACTGCTTCTATTTTTTTTCTTAACAAACTTAATGGTGAAATGATTGAATTTGTTCTGAAGTAAATAGATATCTAAATGGTGTATTGATTGAATTCTTTCTGAAATAACGTAAAGGTGAACTGATTCAAATCTTTCTGAAATAGCTAGTTGAAGAAACTATTTGATTCTTCTTGACACTACTCGAGAGAGCAGGGGTCATATATAATATCTGTGGTGTCACGCTAGTTACCTAGTCACGGTAGTATCATAATAGTAATAGTGTCACGTTAGTTTTCATGTGACGTCATGATGAGTATTCACAAACAAAATTTAGTAAAATCACTTAAATAAGATGCCCGAATGACTGTGGGGTTAGTAAAACTACTTGACTGAGATGCCCGAATGACTGTGGGGTTCGTAAAACTACTTGACTGAGATGCCCGAATGACTGCGGGGCTAGTAAAACAACTTGACTGAGATGCCCTAATGACTGCAGGGTTAGTAAAACTACTTGACTGAGATGCCCGAATGACTGCGGGGCTAGTAAAACAACTTGACTGAGATGCCCTAATGACTGCGGGGTTAGTAAAACTACTTGACTGAGATGCCCGAATGACTGCGGGGCTAGTAAAACAACTTGACTGAGATGCCCTAATGACTGCAGGGTTAGTAAAACTACTTGACTGAGATGCCCGAATGACTGCGGGGCTAGTAAAACAACTTGACTGAGATGCCCGAATGACTCTGGGACTAATAAAACTACTTGACTGCGATGCCCAAATAACCGTGTGTCTAGTAAAAATATTTGACCGAGATGCCCGAATGACTGCGAGGCTAGTAAAACTACTTGACTGAGATGCCCTAATGACTGCAGGGTTAGTAAAACTACTTGACTGAGATGCCCTAATGACTGTGGGGTTAGTAAAACTACTTGACTGAGATGCCCAAATGACTGCGGGGCTAGAGCGACCCACCATCAAGCGAGGTCATAAAGGTGTTGTTTCAACCCTGCAATGACTTTACATTACGGCCAGAGGAAGGTGTCCGTCTTAATACTCTTTCGTAACAACGCCAACTAGTCATCGCTCCTCCTCCCTTTCCCCCGCCCAATACCCATCTTACCGCCGATCTCTTTAGCTTTTCTAATCATTTTCATCTTCGTCTCGGCGTATCGATACCAGGTCAATGAAAAGCTGTCACCGATTCTCGCCTATTTGCGTGGCGCCGAGTTAAAGGGAAATTAATTTTAAGGCGGCGACTAAAACGATCGTTAATTAGCCTGGAGGTTTTTTTTTGTTATTTTTTTTTTTTTTGGAAGACTCAAGCCGCCAACAAGTTTGTTAACTTTCCCCAGTTGGACTCAAATTTAAAAAAAAAAAAAATCACTCCACACCAAGCGGTCGCAAGTTCAACCTAATCAGCATCAAGAAGTCTACCCCCCATCCTGAACAAAATAGAATTTATATAGAAATTAAGTGTATATATATATATATTAAGTGTATATATATATATATATATCATAATATATAAAAGCCCATGTGCGCAACTCTCACTCTCTCTCTCTCTCTCTCTCTCTCTCTCTCTCTCTCTCTCTCTCTCTCTCTCTCTCTCTGTCTGTCCGCAAAATATTTTCGCCGGACATCACGTCAGAAACTTCAGCGATATATGGAGAACTTGCTTCGGACTTTTGTTGAAAATAATATGGTAGATGTTTTAAATGTATAACCAAAATTTTATTTAAAGAAGAAAAATAAAAAATAAAGGCGTATTCGAATGTAGAAAAACAGTTTTAATTATGCAACAGGAAAAGCATTTATAGTTATGAAAAAGAATAAAACAGTGACGTCACTAATGTTTATACATTAACTAATGACGTGTTTAGAATAAAAAGAAATGAACTATTTCATTCAAATATTATTTATATCTACGTATGCTATAAAATTTATACAATACAATTTTCCTGGGGCCAAACATAAAAAAAAAATTCTATTAGGATTCTAGATCTAGATATTCTAGATCATCTAGATCTAGAGATTCTAGATCTAGATGATCTTGATCTACGGAAAAACTAGACTTACACAGATGAAGACCCTACCTAGATCTAGAAACTATTCAAATAATATATTTCTATACTAAAGTATTTCAGGCCTTAATTACTTTATTGAAATCTTTGTTTATCAATGCAATTTGCTAATCTCTATTATATATAAAGCAAAGTTATCGGGTGCCCGATAGGGCACTTCCCGGTGCCGCATGCGCTTCAAATTTGGCAGGATCTTGCCTTGGGGCGACAGAACACGGGGGCCGGTTAGCCGAAAAGTCTACGCTTAGGGGGTCAAAACTGACCTCGACTGACCGGCGCCTTGTATGAGCTATAAATCGAAAAAAAAATGTCCACGTAGGAACCTCTTCATAACTCCTGAGGTCGGGCGAATTAATTAAGCATTCAAATTCTCAATGTTTTCGAAAGCCTAAGCGAAGCTGGGCAGCATGCCTAGTATATATATATATATATATATATATATATATATATATATATATATATATATATATATATATATATATATATATATATATATATATATATATATATACATATATATATATATATATATATATATATACATATATATATATATATATATATACATATATATATATATATATATATATATATATATATATATATATATATATATATATATATATATGTCTCTCTGTGTGTATATGTGTGCGAATGTTTCCCCGTTATATCTACATACATATATCTCCCTGTGTTACAAGGCAAATCAAATCAATCTTGTACCCTACACCGACGTCCCCCCCCCCCCCCCCCCCCCCCCCCCCCCAGAAATAGGGCCACCAATTGATGACGGTGATGATAAAAGAGCTCACCTCATGCGCGGACGTCACAGAAAATACGGTTAACGTATTTGCTAATCAGCGAGTTTTGCCCCTTCAAATTTCCTTTCCATAAAATATACATTTTTTTTATTTTTTATTTTATTTCTTTTATTTTTTTTTGAGAAGGATTTAAGTCAACTGGACTTGCAACTATAAAAAAAAATTTAGCAGATTTAAACCAACAGAATTAGCCCTTTTAGCGAACTAGATTAGCATTTTTAAGCCAAACAGCAGCTGTAAGCTAAGCGGTCTGCAGCTGTTAGGTAACCGGATTTGTAGCTTTACGCGAAACGGGTTTGCAGTTTTTAGCTAACCCGACTATAAGCTTCAAAGTAACCCGATTAGCAGCTTTAAGTAAACCGGATTAGCAGCTCTATGCTAACCGGGTAAGCAGCTCTAAGCTAACCGGATTAACAGCTCTAAACTAACCGGATTAGCAGCTCTAAGCTAACCGGATTAGCATCTGCATTGGTTAGTCACCGTGCGGGACTAAATGTGATTGAAGAAATGTGACTCCGTGAGGTCAGCTAACTTGGTGTGAATTCAGGGTAGGCGGATGGTGGATCAGGGTAGGTGGATGGTGGATCAGGGTAGGCGGATGGTGGATCAGGGTAGGCGGATGGTGGATCAGGGTAGGCGGATGGTGGATCAGGGTAGGCGGATGGTGGATCAGGGTAGGCGGATGGTGGATCAGGGTAGGCGGATGGTGGATCAGGGTAGGCGGATGGTGGATCAGGGTAGGTGGATGGTAGATCAGGGTAGGCGGATGGTGGATCAGGTATGCGGATGGTGGATCAGGGTAGGCAAATGGTGAAGCAGGGTAGGCGGATGGTGGATCAGGGTAGGCGGATGGTGGAGCAGGGTAGGCGGATGGTGGAGCAGGGCAGGCGGATGGTGGAGCCGCTCACTTGGGCCATTTCAGGGACAGACATCGTCCTTGACCTTTCATGTCTGAATGATCGATTTCTATCCTTTTTTTTATGCACGTGGATTGGCCAGGGCTACGATTGATATTTATTTCAACTACCCTCAAGTCACATTCGCATCCATACATCGCTTACCCCCCCTCCCCCCCCCCACCCTCATCCTCATTCAATCCCTACCCCCGGCCCATACCCCACTATCACATTTCTTTCCCAAAACCTTTTTTTTTTTTTTTTTTTTTTTTAATACTAATTAAACACGTATGTGTTTTAAAGTATATTGTGAAAATTGGAAAATATAGATTCGAAAGCAATTAAAATAATATATAAAACAAATTACGTTTCAACTCTTCGTCTACATCTGATTATACGGACAATTTAAACAGACTATTGTAACTAATCGACTATTATATAAAATGGTTACTTTCATTATTATTATTTTTGTGAATGCTGAAGTGATCTTGAAACGTGGTACCACATAACTAAAATGCACCATCTTTAAAGTTATAGAGTCAGCAATGCGTCATACTTGTAGAATGATCGGAGTCAGTACGGGGTGGTACATGTGGAATGGTTAGAGTCAGCGTAGCGTCTTTACCGTAGAAGGACTGAAGTCAGCATCGCTCCTTAACCGTAATGGAGTTAGAATAAAATTCTATTAAACTGATTGTTCAAGTTTACTACAATTAATCGCGGGTTACCTACCAAAGTAACTAAAGTAACTCTCGATTACTCTGGTGTTAACTGGCCAAGTGGATATGGATATACATTTAACTCGACCCTTTTGCTTTAAAGCAAATGTCTGTCGTAACACTGTCGTTGGGGAATTGTTTTTTTCCTGATAACCGCCTATCTTCGCCAATCTGACTTGACAAAAACTGTTTAGTTACCCGGCCGGGGCTAGAAATGACACTGTTAGTCTGATATTGCTAAATCTGTCACAAAGACTTGCTGTCGTCGCCATTCTTTGTGTGCTGAGTCGTAAAGTGGCAGCTCACTCACAAAGAGGATTGGTGGGAATTTTGGAGATGGACTTGGTAATCAACTAAAATGTGATTAGTTCTTTAGTTGAGTTAAACGCTTACTAATTTTTCCTAAGTAATCAACTATTTTTTACGTTATTTCTGCTATAAATATTAAGTGAACGGCATTGAAGGTTAAAAAATACTCTCATATTTAGTTATGCTGCACTTAGCAAGTAGTAAAATATCCTTAATATCTGTATGGCAGGTTCACTTGTTTCAGTGACCTCGGCATTTGAAGGAATTATGTGGTCAGCACTGTGCCCAGCCGCCTTTACTTTCCCTAACATGAGTTAGGTACCCATCACAGCTGAGTGAACTCTGTAACGTCCTGCAAACCCAAGTATACATCGAGATACGAACTCCGGATTTTCCGGTTAGCAGTCGAACGCTTTACCATTCTACCGCACTAAAAGCTAGAATTATCTGTCATATTTAGTGAGTGGTCGGTCGCAGTTGTTGGTCTAAATATACACTTCTCTGTTTGTTTTATATGAGTTTAAATATTTATACGACTACATATTTGTCATATTAAAACATAAATAAGTCGGTGTTTGTTGGGAAATCTAGGTTAAACAATGTAGAAAGTTATCTTAATTTTAAGGCAATTTAAGCGTATAAATGTGAAACTGAAGCTGCATGTCGAACAATATGAAGGCTTTTACTTTCTCGTATACGGTGTATTGTTGGAAGTATTTCAATCCTGAAAAAAAACGATGCTTTTTACACTGTTAAGCTAGAGAAACCCAGGTTTGCAACCATTTGTATGTTTGTATCTGTGTGTGAACCTATAACTTTTGTTAAAATCCTATCCGTAGGTATATTAAACTTTTTAAACCATTTCCGGTAACCGGAAATGGTACTTTACTATATTTCCGGTTTCTCAAAAACCTAAACAATTTAATAGTCTTTATCGTATTCTCATAATGCAGCACTTTGTAGGAGCGCTTCTATCACAAACGTATTTACCAATCCCATGGCTCCATTCCATTGGACGTGCTTTGCCAAACCTTACTGTTACATATAAACATAGGCGAGAATTTAGGGGAGCTCACTCCAGCTTTATTTATTTCTTATGAGGTACCATAGATCTAGAAATAAATAGCGCAGTTGATCTCCCCTACGGCTGGGCCAACCTTTTACAATTTATTATCCCAATGCACGTAAATTTTATCATCTCGATAAAATTTCGTTGAAAATTTATATTTTTTCGTGAACTTCGGGTGAAGGAAATCGCATTTTTTGTTGTTGCTCTGTTAACTCTTCCTATTGGCTGGAGAGAAAAAAAAAATTATCCATCGATTTACTTCGATTTTTTTTTATGCATGTATCTATATCGTTGAGAGACGTAAATTACACGGGGAGGAAGGAAAACAAACGAATGAAAATTATTACGCGAACTAGTGTATGGATCTCAAGGAAAAGATAATTATCAGCACTCGCGTTAATTATTAATGAAGTGATGTTAAATTGTGTTGGATTAGAAATCATGTATAAAAATGAAAGCTCGTCTACATGAATTATATCTTCTAATGGGTTGCTTTTGAGGGTTTGTCTAACGTTAAAAAGTACATTGTGATCGATTTATGATAGAGTATTAAGAATTTAAACAGCCTATCAACATATGAATTTAGTTTAGCAAAGTCAACATTGTTATTTTGAGGTTTTATAAAGAGAATTTTGTTAATTTAGTAAAATTAATCATACCTCTTGTCTATGTAATTTAATGAGAATTTCGTTGACTTACCAACATTGAAATTTTATTTGAAAATCTAAAACTTGAGTCAAGTGCCCCAAGCCCCTATTATATTCTAGAGTATTTGCTTCGAGTCCATACTCAACCCGGGAAATTCGTCCTCCAGTCCTTACTAATCCCTTAAAAGATCTTACAACCATTACCTACTTAAACATTGAGTATTGTCCCCAGTCCCCCATTCCCCTTCCCTACTAAACCCTTAAATCATGTTGCCCCTACCACCACCCCCCCCCCCCATGTACCTTATTGTTCCCCATTCCCCTTTCTTACTAAATCTTTGAATCATGTTGTTCCCACCCCCGTCCCCACTCAACCCATACACCTTGTTGTCCCCACCTCCCGTCCCCACTAAACATCTTTAATGTCGTCCCCACCCCTGCCCCCACTGAACCCATGAAACTTGACCCACCCCGTTCCCACTCAACCCTTGAGGTTTGCCCCCCCCCCCCCACATCACCCCCATAAACCCATGCACCTCCTCCCCCACAGACCACAAGTGAGTTTGTCAGCGCCTACTACAAGGCCAACGGCAGCCTACCGATGAGCATCTTCGCGGCCTGCACCTATGACACGGTTTGGACGATGGCCTTGACCCTCAGGTTTGTTGTGTTGTTTCTGTGTTTCTGGAACCCCCCCCCCTCCCTGCCCCACCCCTCCTAGTTTAAGTCAGGCCGTCAGCTTGATCAAGAACTTCAGTTGATGTTTCACATTCATCTTTGTTCACGGTTGTAGTTTGCGTATGGTGAATAAACTTTTTCATAACAATTTTTTTACAATGTTCTGCACATAAAACAACAACAGCACCACATACAACAACAAAAAATAATCAAACCTGAAATAATACAACACGACCGAATTCTTATCAAATCTGACTTAACACGACATCACCGAATTCTAAAAAACGTTTTCCCAACGTGATACAAGCGAATTCTTATAAACACCTAACGTGATATGGACCAACCACTAACCAACCCTTCACGTGACACGGACCAACCACTAACCAACCCTCGCGTAACGGACCAACCACTAACCAACCCCTTACGTGACACGGATCAACTTTTAACCAACCACTAACGTGACACTGACCAACCACTAACCACTCCATAACGTGACACTAACCAACCCCTCACGTGATATAGTCTAACCACCAACCAACCCCTCACGTGACATGGACCAACAACTAACCAACCCCTAGCTTGACACGGACCAACCACCAACCAACCCCTCACGTCACACGGACCAACCACTAACCAACCCCTAACGTGACACTGTCCAACCACTAACCAACCCCTCACGTGACACTGTCCAACCACTAACCAACCCCTAACGTGACACTGTCCAACCACTAACCAACCCCTCATGTAACACGGACCAACCACTAACCAACCCTACCCAAGCGTGATATGACAAGCCGTCCCTCCCATGTAGACAGGCGACCGAAGAATGGGCGAAAAACGGAACAGCCCCGCTGCTCCATCAGCTGAGCTACGATCGCATGGCCGACGTCAAGGAAACTTTCATCAGCACAATGGAAAACCTGGAATTCCCGGGAGTATCGGTGAGTGATGAGTGAAATGTCCCGTGATTGAGTGATTGGGGGAATAATCCGATAAACTGCTTCAAAACGGCGCGTAACTGACAAACCCTTCCGGGCCAATTTTACTAGTATTGCTAATTTTATTGATGGCTCTTTGATTTTGTTTATGAATCCTGATGGTGTTTGTGCTAAATGTATCCGTGCATGTATAAAATGAATGCTTTCAACTAAATCATTTTGAGAGATTTCTACAAGACACGCTTCCTTGTTCATAGCAGCTTGCCGATTTTTACAACATAATAAATGTGACATTCGCGTTTATTAAATTTATGTATTTTAAATTTGATTTGATTCCAACGACGCACTTTAGCGGGTTTATGTTTGTAGGAGAGGAATTTGTGTGTGTGTAGTTGTGGTTTTTGTTCGTGTTGTGAACTTTGTGTGTATTTGCTTGAGGTGGGAATTTGATATGTGTTGGGCTAGGTTTGTTTTCGTGTCCATTGGCGGTGGGGGAAATGTGTGTGTGTGTCGTGGGTGGGGGTTTTGGAAGCATGATGTGGGTGCGAACGTGTATGTCTCTTGTGTGTGGTAATTGTGTGTGCGTGTAAAATTAATTAAAGTTACTTTTGTTTGGTGAATTTAGTAGCCCTGGAAGTATATTTGAGTTAGTCAGGTTGCTGTTCAATTATGTTTCTAGTCTATCGATTATTCTGTCAGGTTATTATATTGCCGCATTTTGTGTACTAGAGTATTATGTTATGTCTGCTAAATAAAGCATCAATGTTAAAATCCAATATCAGGGTCCAGTATCATTCAAGGGTTCAGACAGAGAGGGAATTTCCGCTGTCTATCAGGTGCAAGGTAATCACGTTTGTCTCACATACGTTCATTAATTTGACAGGCGTGTTCGTTTTAAAACACCTGCATATGTCTCACCTGTGTTCACTAGTTTGACAGGTGCGTTAGTTTTAAAACACTTGTATATATTTCACCTGTGATTAATAGCTGATCAGGTGTGTGTTAGCTTTAAAACACCTGTATATGTCTCACCTGTGTTCACTAGTTTTACAGGTGTGTTTTTTAAAAACATCTGCATATGCCTCACCTGTGTTGACTAATATGATAGGTGTGTTATCTTTAAAACACCTGCATATGTCTCACCTATGTTCACTAGTTTTACAGGTGTGTTTTTTTTAAAACATCTGCATATGCCTCAGCTGTGTTGACTAATATGATAGGTGTGTTATCTTTAAAACACCTGCATATGTCTCACCTATGTTCACTAGTTTTACAGGTGTGTTTTTTTTAAAACATCTGCATATGCCTCACCTGTGTTGACTAATATGAAAGGTGTGTTATCTTTAAAACACCTGCATATGTCTCACCTATGTTCACTAGTTTTACAGGTGTGTTTTTTTTTAAAACATCTGCATATGCCTCACCTGTGTTGACTAATATGATAGGTGTGTTATCTTTAAAACACCTGCATATGTCTCACCTATGTTCACTAGTTTTACAGGTGTGTTTTTTTAAAACATCTGCATATGCCTCAACTGTGTTGACTAATATTATAGGTGTGTTATCTTTAAAACACCTGTATATGTCTCACCTGTGTTCACTAGTTTTACAGGGGTGTTAACTTTAAAACACCTGAATATGTATCACCTGTGTTGACTAGTATGACAGGTATGTTAATGTCTCATCAAATCTCAACCCCATGTTTTCTCTCCCCCACTCCACCAGGTGGTAACCTCACACAGGTGGCCATCCACCTGCCGTCCAGTACTCACCTGGACTTTGATTGTGACTCCTGCCACAAGATACTCTGGCAAGGCAAGTCATGTCGTAATGTCACCACTTTTTAAAAATCTTTTATTAATCAAAACCAAACTAAGTAACATATTTTCCTCACAAATAGTATCACGAAAATAGTCTACATGTAATGTATAATTTTTTTAAATTTATTTTCCGGGCGATGAATTTGTTTGTTGAAACTGAAAAAAAGTTCACATACCGGAACTCATGATAGATACTGTACAGTAAAGGGAGCTGGGCATAGTGCTGACCAGGTTATCACTTAAATGCCGAGGTCACAGAAACAGGTGATACCTACTTCACTATGGCCCAATGGACCTTTAGGTTCGAAAAGGGAACTTCACTAACGGAACTCAAGACAGATTTGACAGTCGTATAGATAGCTGAAGTAGAGTTCAACTGTTTGCTTTCTCTCCCTATTATGTCACGTATATATTTGAGCTTCGTAGATCTATACACGCTTTGTGGACGTGTACACACGTAGTGGACATATGGACAACGCTATGTGTACACAATAGTCGAACGCGTACCTTTCGGGTTAATTATGTTGCGCTCTATTGCTCGACCACGCCACAACAAAGTGAACTTCCTTTTGAATCTAAACATACTAGTTTACAAAAAAACACATCACAAATATGTACAAGATTCCCAACACACGCGCACACAAACACAAGTACTCACGTTTTCAATCCGAACCATACATTAGAAACACTGCCAGCTATTGTGTTTAGCGCAATGTGAACATTGTCGACCCATCGCGTATAAAAGTCTGTGGTTCGCATCCCCAGATGGTCGAACCCCGAAGGACGAACTGGTGATCGTGGCCCGGCCAAAGACCATCGAGGTGGCCGTGTTTTACACGTGCGCTGGGCTGTGCACCGTGGGGCTCATCATGGCCGTGAGCTTCCTGACCTACAACCTGCACCATCGGAGACTCAAGTGAGTTATTGCATCTGAGATGCGTGGCGTCATTGGGTGTTTAGTAGTTGACGTGATTACATATATATATATATATATATATATATATATATATATATACATATATATATATATATATATATATATATATATATATATATATATATATATATATATATATATATATATTGGATGACGTCATTGTGTGTTTGGTGGCTGGCGTCATTACATGTATGATAGATGACGTCATCGTGTGTTTGTCGGGTGACGTCTTTACGCAGTAAATGTGTAACCCTATGACGCGTCAGATATGTGACGACACAGCATGTTTATTGTTAAATCTACAATTACACCAGGGCTTTTGCAAAGTTAAACGTGAAGTAGATTGATCAGAGACTGATATACATTTCGGGATAAATGAACATGGTTTTCTTTTCTTGCACAATTTGGGTTGATTTGGTCTACATGTTAATCAGCTTTAGAGTTTCAGCAATTGAATTATTGTTCAAAACTTTTTTATTTATTTTACAACACTAGGTGGTTCTGAATATTAACACTTAATATTCAGAACCACCTAGTGCAATTAGGCATGCCATTTTCTGTTATGTGGCCAGATTTATCAAGCTCTCCAGTCCAAAGTTAAACAACGTGGCGACTATCGGTTGTATCCTGGTCTACACGGCGGTCATCATGCTGGGGCTAGACGACCGCACTCTGACCGATTCTGTTTTCCCAATCATCTGCTCCGTGAGTAGCCTGTCATTTTTTTTATCACACAGATATATTGGTTCTGCTTGTTTTGGGGTATGTACGAGTATATTTGTTATCCAGTTGTGTTGTCTTCTTTCAAAAGGGTATTTCGTTAAGTTTTTTTTTTTTTTTTAGTTGTCTAATTGGGTAAAACAGATAATGATTTATAGTGTAGTTTAATAAAATGACAAAGTTTTATTCGACTATGGTACAAAATGTCATTTAATAATTAGATGACAAATTGATGACAAAAAATAAAACGCGTAGATCTAATTTCGGCGAAGACAATGCACAAGTCTTTTTTTTTGTCATGACACTGTACTCGATTTCTGGATGTCAGAAGACAAGGTCCCCTGTCATGACGTTATGTGTCATCTGATGACATGACATATGGTGTCATTCGATGATGTTGTTCTCTCGTCTGGCAGGTCCGAGCGTTTCTGCTGGCTGCCGGATTTTCTCTGGCGTTTGGCGCCATGTTTGCCAAGACCTTCAGGGTGCATCAGATCTTCACGCGGGCTCACCATGGTCTGGTCAAGTCTAAGGTAGGTTCACTTTTAGTCTAGGGTAGGTTTACTTTTAGTCTAGGGTAGGTTCACTTTTAGTCTAGGGTAGGTTCACTTTTAGTCTAGGGTAGGTTCACTTTTAGTCTAGGGTAGGTTCACTTTTAGTCTAGGGTAGGTTCACTTTTAGTCTAGGGTAGTTTCACTTTCAGTCTAGGGTAGGTTCACTTTTAGTCTAAGGTAGGTTCACTTTTAGTCTAAAGTAGGTTCACTTTTAGTCTAAGGTAGGTTCACTTTTAGTCTAGGGTAGGTTCACTTTAAGTCTAAGGTAGGTTCACTTTTAGTCTAGGGTAGGTTCACTTTTAGTCTAGGGTAGGTTCACTTTCAGTCTAGGGTAGGTTCACTTTTAGTCTAAGGTAGGTTCACTTTTAGTCTAAAGTAGGTTCACTTTTAGTCTAAGGTAGGTTCACTTTTAGTCTAGGGTAGGTTCACTTTTAGTCTAGGGTAGGTTCACTTTTAGTCTAGGGTAGGTTCACTTTTAGTCTAGGGTAGGTTCACTTTTAGTCTAGGGTAGGTTCACTTTCAGTCTAGGGTAGGTTCACTTTTAGTCTAAGGTAGGTTCACTTTTAGTCTAAAGTAGGTTCACTTTTAGTCTAAGGTAGGTTCACTTTTAGTCTAGGGTAGGTTCACTTTTAGTCTAAGGTAGGTTCACTTTTAGTCTAGGGTAGGTTCACTTTTAGTCTAGGGTAGGTTCACTTTCAGTCTAGGGTAGGTTCACTTTTAGTCTAAGGTAGGTTCACTTTTAGTCTAAAGTAGGTTCACTTTTAGTCTAAGGTAGGTTCACTTTTAGTCTAGGGTAGGTTCACTTTTAGTCTAGGGTAGGTTCACTTTTAGTCTAGGGTAGGTTCACTTTTAGTCTAGGGTAGGTTCACTTTTAGTCTAGGGTAGGTTCACTTTTAGTCTAAGGTAGGTTCACTTTTAGTCTAAAGTATGTTCACTTTTAGTCTAGGGTAGGTTCACTTTTAGTCTAAGGTAGGTTCACTTTTAGTCTAGGATAGGTTAACTTATAGTCTAAGGTAGGTTCAATTTTAGTCTAAGGTAGGCTCACTTTTAGTCTTAAGTAATTTTATTTAAGCCCGTTAGGTTCAATTTAGTCCAAGTTAAGTTCACTTTTATTCTAAGTTTCACTTTTATTCTTTAGTTTAAGGTAGGTTCACTTTTAGGTTACGGTATGTTAGTTTTTAGTCTCGGTTGGTCAAGTCTAGCTAAGATCACCCTTAGTCTATGTTAAGTGCATTTTAGTCTAATGTTCACTTTTATACTGAGGAATGTTCAGTTTTAGTTTACAAAAGGTTCACTTTTAGTCTAAGGTAAATTCAGTTTGTTTTCATCTAATGTAGTATCACTTTTGGTCTACTGTCAGAGTTAGTGGAGTCTAGTGCCTCTTAGAGTGGTTTAGGTTTGAGTTTTGCAGTGGCCAACTAAGTGTCGAAGAATTGATGAACTGATCCCTTTTTTTCGTAGTCCGTGTGACTTCACCGTTTCGCGAGTTACGTCACATACAGTCCGCCCCTTTACCCTGTTTGAAGTGCCTTTACCCCGGAGAAAAATGCCTGAAAGAAACACTGAACGCACGCACACACACACGCATACATACACACACACAAACACACACGCAACTCCAGCGGAATACCGTCTGGTTACGCGATTTTTCTTCCAAACACAAATCCAAAATGGACGACAGTTACAGTTACAATAACACATTTAAAAATTCGAATCAAAACAATCCAGCTTTCTATGCTAACGAAACAAAATTACATTTCTACTACCAAACAACTACACACCGATCTTGATAGACGGGTAAAAAACTATGACAAGAAACTAACATTTGAAATTGAACGTTTGATACTCCGAAGCGGCGAGACGTATAAAATTTGTTCAGTTCTGATTTCCTTTATCGCGTCAACCGGAAGTTACCAAAAAAAAAGGCGGGAAAAAAAAGGTTGATTGTCAAACGAATCATGATCAGGGGAGACTATAAAAGGGGCATTAATAAAGGGAAAGTAGAACAAACGGGTGGTTGAATGGGCGGGTAGGCAGCGAAAGGGGGGGGGGGGAATGCTGTCGTTAATGGCATTTTTAAACCTCATTAAAATATGTTGCAAATATAAATTTAATCTTTTTTTTGCATGGTCTGCAAATTAGTTTTCAATCCTGATATATTTTTACAAGAATATAAATGTCTTGGGCTTTATTATAAAACGTCGGGAGAACGTATTTGGGTATTTATTCTATTGATCCGTACTTGACCCACGCCTACTGTGCTAAGATCATCACTGACCTTAACTAACGTAAGTCTTGACCCTAGTACTTACCCCAGCTCTGCACTTAGCTCTAAACAAAACCATGACGTTAAACCCAAATATCGGCACCTACAGGATAGCGATAGGAAAAAAAACCACGATACGATATAGTGTCCTGTCGATGGTTCTTATAAAAGCAAACAAGTTTTTTCAGTACACATTCCGACTGACATATTCTCACTAGATACAAAAAAACAGCTCATTTTTTATTATCATTGGACGATTTGAATGATGTAAAATTGAGAATAGTCGGGTCATGAAAAATGGGGAAAAGAGAGTAGGGGGGGGGGTGGATAAAAAATCTTTACGATCGTATGCGAAACATTTAAAAACTAGGACGGACTCGGAGAAAGTACGGAACGAAAAATTTCCTCCTTAACAAATGAGTTTTTATTTTTTTATTTTTTATTTTGTACTTCCCCCCTGACGTGGTGCCAATATCGTTCAAGTTATTATCATGGTTTAATAGGCTTCACGCCTCCAGGCCAGACTCCTTGAGTAGTGTAGGGGGCGCTGTCAAGTTTGATGGTTAATACACTGTTGAGTTCCTTGATTGGGCACAAGATTAAACATGGCGGACAAGTTAAAGAGGATTGGGACCCCTCGATCTGAGGGACTCGTAACAGATCGATGCGATTGATTGGCTTTCGATCAGAGTATTCGATTTTTTTTAAAACTTGTTTTTATATTTTGTAACCGTGATTATAAAACATATTTGTACAAGTTAAGCTATATAAAAATTAAACAACTTTTCCCCAATGCTTTGTAAGTTTTCAAAGGTTTTGAAATCGAGCTAAAAAAATATATAAGATATTTTATTTTAAAAGTGGATTCGATTGTTTAGAATAGAATATAATCTGGCTATTTATTTTATTAATGGAATTGTCGGCATGGGAGGAATGCGTGTTAGTTTACTTAATTTCAAATTCAATAATACACCCGTGTTGTATGCAAGTGATCTGCACCTTCAGTTTTCAGACAAAAGGGTTCCCTAAACTTGACCACAATTACAGTCAAATTAGCCATGTTACAGCAACATGTCAACATCACCCTCCTTTAAATGTTCATTAAATGTTCCATAAAATATTCCTCATTCAAAAAGCCTCAGACCCTCCATAAACTCTTATTCCCCTAAACCCTTGACCTCCATAGCCTCTGCCCCATAACCACATGGCCCCATAACATATGTCCCCCTAAACTTTGACCCCCATAACCTGAGACCCCCATAACCTCTAATCCCCATAACCTCTGACCCCCATAACCTTGTAAAATCTGATCACATAACATCTGCCTCTATAACCCCAGACCCCCATAACCTGAGACCCCAATAACCTCTAATTCCCATAACCTATGACCTCCCCCCATAACCTTGAAAAATCTGATCACATAACATCTGCCCCCATAACCTCAGACCCCTATAACCTCTAATTCCCATAACCTCTGCCCTCCCCCCATAACCTTGTAAAATATGATCCACATAACATCTGACCACATAACCTCTGACCCCCGTAACATCTGACCACCACAACCCCAACCCCCATAACCTTTGACCCTTCAGTAACCTCTGACCCCCATGACCTCTGACCCTACAGTAACCTCTGACCCTACAGTAACCTCTGACCCTTCAGTAACCTCTGACCCCATCTCCCTAGCTGATCCAGGACACTCATCTCCTGGTCATCATCGGCGTCCTGCTGGCCGTCGACTCGTCCGTCGTCCTGGTCTGGGTGGTGGTGGACCCCATGAGCCGTCACGTGACCAACACAACCAAAGAGGTGAGTGCGTCCAGGTTAGTATCTGTAACACGTGACTAAAGAGGTGAGTACGTCCAGGTTAGTATCTGTACCACGTGACTTTTCACACACGCTGCCAGGGGTCGGCGTGGTCGAGTCGGTAAAGCTCATGGCTGCTAAACCGATAAGCCTCGAGTTCGAACCCTCGGGCAAATGAGGCTCGTTAGCTGGAGACAACCACTCTTCTAGGAGAGACAACTCCAATATCAAACAATTGCTGCCTTGTAGTTTGTTCTTTGTTGGATAAAGGCTATGGAAGCAAATCCTAAAACAAAAACAGGCTGAAAGCGCGAATAACCGGTTGACACGTATAATTGTGCTGGAGGGGATCCCTTCCAACAATAAAATTATGAACGAAGAAGAAGACACACGCTACTCTTTCCAGTAAGACTCGACTTTTTTTTCTGCGGATAAAACTAATGCAGCTTGATATAATTTAAACAAAATTTAGAATTCTGCCCACATTTACAAAATTTAAAACATACTGCGAAGTATCCATGGTATTGTTGTTTTAGTTGAAAGAGTGAGAATAATGTCAGCTTCTGTTTTTATTTTATAGCTAAATATGAAGAACAGGATGGGCACAGGAGGAAAAAACCCGTAAATTTGAACGCATTGGTTTTCCCCAACCATTCCTCAACGGAACTCCTTAAATTTTTGTTCCAAACAAAATTTTACAAAATGGCTGCTCTGTGAAATCAGATTGGTCGACCTCTGGTCCATTCCATATGCTCAGTCAAAAGTTAATTTTTTTCTGTGGGGAGTGGGGAATTCCCCCATCTATTTATAGAAATTACCAAAATATAAAAATAATGTACGGCGTTTCCAATGACGTCATCGACTCCATCTATTAATAACATGAGTTTATAATGTCTACGATAGTAGTTGTAGTAAACTGTCTCGTCAGCAAGCAGATGTGTACAGAGTTTATTTGCAATATGAAACGCTTAAAAAGCGGCCAGATAAATAGCTCCCAAATCTGGCCGAGCCAATCGGAAGTCGGGGCGTCATCTCGCAGACGATCATGGCCGATCGAGTGGCGGGAAGGCGCGTGGTCAATCTAATCAATTTTCTCGCTTCTGCTTCTTTAAACTCAAGCCGGTCACGCGATTCTCGGAGTAACTGGACATTGAAGGAGAAAAAAAAAGTTTCTCCTATGATTACCAGCAATGTCGGTCGACCGTTTTTTCACGCTAGTAAAGCTGTTACGACAAGGGTTAGTAATAAGGTCGCGATTAACCTTAGTGGATAATTTAGAAATGGCATTTCTGCTGATTTCTAATATAAGACTTTTAGTGTTATTTGTAACTAAGTTATTATGCATAGATATAACTTTTGTTCTCGAGATATTGAGGCCTAGGTCTACAGTTTTACTATAATTCTTAAATTTTTTTTTATTCGGTATCATCATCAGAGTTTTCTCCAGGCATCTCGCAGAGAGTCCACCGCCCCCCCCCCCCCGAACGAAATGGAATTTATATAGAAAATATATACTTTAAACAGTGTCCGCCCCTCCCCCCCTCCCCCCCCCCCCCCCCGGAGAAAAAAAGTCTGGAAGAAATACTGATCTTCATGGTCATTTTTTCCTTGCGGAACTCAGGGCCCCTGTCAAAGCGTTTCCCCTCTCCACGGTCTCCTGCCACTCTTTTCAGCTGTTCCCAAATTCCTTCCTATCCGTTCAGCCTCCCCCAACACGCTACGTCCAGAGTTTCTTCCAGGCATCTCTTTGGGGGGGGGCTAAGCCCCCCCGAAAAATTTTTACCGCCCCCCCCCCCCCCGAACGAAATGAAATTTATATAATTTATATAGAAAATATATACTTTCAACAGTGTCCGCCCGCCCGAAGAAAGTTTACCGCCCCCCCGAAGATTTCAAGTGCCCCCCCCCCCGGAGAAAAAAGTCTGGAAGAAACACTGGCTACGTCGGCCCTAGCGTCAGTTACCCTGGGGGTTCCACTGGGGTTAGACTGGCTCTATTGCAAGCGTCATTACGAGCGCTAAAAGTAGGTAGCCGAGCGATAAAAGTAGGCAGCCGAGCGCTTAAAGTAGGTAGCCTAGCAGTAAAAATAGGTAGCCTAGCGCTCAAACAAGTTCGCCTAACCAGTGTTTCTTCCAGACTTTTTTCTCCGGGGGGGGAGGGCACTTAAAATTTTCGGGGGGGCGGTAGACTTTCTTCGGAAGAGCTGACACTGTATTTTCTATATAAATTATATAAATTTCATTTCGTTCGGGGGGGGGGCGGTAAAAATTTTTCGGGGGGGCTTCGTCCCCCCCCCCCCCCCCCGAAGAGATGCCTGGAAGAAACTCTGCGCCTAACCCTAAAAGAATTTCTCCTAGCTCTGAAAGAAGTTTACCAAGCGCTAAAAGAACTTCGCCTTACCCTAAAAGAAGTTCGTTGAGCCCTGTACGAAGTTCCAAATTTCCCCCCCCCCTCCCTTACACACACGCATTACTAAGAAGTTCAATGACCTGTCATATATTTATTTTACTTTAGCTGTAGGCTAAACAGTCTAATATCACCCTCGTTTACGAATTATACAACAATATTTATTGTGATAAAAAAAAACTCATCAAAATAAATCTTGGGTTTTAAGCTATTTACAATAATAATAAGATAAAGAAAAAACGGCTAGGCCTACAAGGGGAATGCTACAAATTGGAATTCAGAGTACGAGAAACTAGTTTCAATCTATAATTGAATCTTCGCCTGTCTACGACTCTGGTTCAATCGAGATGGTCGCGGTCTTATCTAATGCTTTCCTCCGGTTCAAGGGTCGCCTGTTTTTATGTGTAGAGAGCCACATTATACATTACAATACTTTTCATATTTACATAACAGTTTATGCATTTCTACAAGCAAGTTTTTTTTTTAAAATTACCTCTTTAGACCTAGCGATCAATTGGGCTGATGAAATAGAGTTCATATGTTTACTGACTTAAGCATATGAAGGGTTATGTGGTCAGCAATATGCCCCAGCCGCCTTTACTTTCGCTAACATGAGTTTGGTATCCATAAGAGAAAGGTGTTCTCAGAAACGTTTCACTGACTTGAACCTGGATTCGAACTCGAGACTTTAGCAGTATAGCGCTCTACCGCTAGGTCACGCTGTCCCATAAAAATTCTATCATACTTATTTCTAATACCTACACATGTAGAAAAATGAATTTTAAAAAATATTTAAAAAAGGACCAATGTTATGTTAAAATTTCATATCCCCTTTGTTTTTGTTGTTTGCATTTATAAAACTAGCCATTCCGGTCAGGCTTTGCACTGGCTGTAGGTAAAACAAATCTGAACCTATATCTGATCTCACTCTAACAAAAACTTTGGTAAAAACTCCCTGAAAAACAAAATCAATTACAGCATACAGCTTTCTCGTTTTAAATAATAATCTTAAGGTTAGATTTTAAATTCGGGTTCGTTTTCGTTACTGAGATATTTTTTTTCAAAAGATATATTCTCAATAACACTGAATAAATGACCACGTGACCTCTTGTGTTGACTGCTAGGTTTCCCCAGACGACGAAGATCTGATATTCCAGGAGCAGCTGACCACGTGTCACTCCAACCACCTGCAGAAGTGGCTGGGCGCCTTCTACGCGTACAAAGGTCTGCTGCTCATCTTCGGGGTCTACATGGCCTGGGAGACCCGGCACGTGAAGATTCCAGCGCTCAACGACTCACAGTACATAGGTCAGGTTGTATTCTTTGTTGTAGGGGTTGTACATAGGTCAGGTTGTATTCTTTGTATGGGTGTGGTAGAGTATGTAGGCCTACATAGGTCAGGTTGTAATCTTTGTGGTAGTGTAGGTACATAGGTCAGGTTGTAATCTCTGTTGTAGTGGTTGTAAATAGGTCAGGTTGTATTCGGTGTATGGGTGTGGTAGAGTATTACATAGGTTAGATTGTATTCCTTGTGGTAGTGTATGTATAAAGACAGGTTGTAATCTTTGCGGTAGTGGTTGTACATAGGTCAGGTTGTAATCTTTGTGGTAGTGGTTGTATATAGTTCAGGTTGTAATCTTTGTGGTAGTGGTTGTACATAGGTCAGGTTGTAATCTTTGTGGTAGTGTAGGTACATAGGTCAGGTTGTATTCTGTGTGGTAGTGGTTATACATAGTTCAGGTTGTAATCTTTGCGGTAGTGGTTGTACATAGGTCAGGTTGTATTCTGTGTGGTAGTGTATGTACATAGATCAGGTTGTCTGCTGTGTGGTAGTGGTTATACATAGGTCATGTTGTCTTCTGGGTGTGTGTATGTTACTGTGTATGTACATAGGTCAGGTTGTATTCTGTGTGGTAGTACATGTACATAGGTCAGGTTGTCTTATGTGTATGTGTAGTACTGTGTTTGTATATAATTCAGGTTATATTCTGTGTACATATATATATATATATATATATATATATATATATATATATATATATATATATATATATATATATCTTGAAGTAGTCACTACTTATATGCAATGAGTATGTACCTTATCGTACTATTTAACAAAACACAATACTCTGTACATGTACACCAGGTCTGAATGTCTACAATGTGGTCATCATGTCCGTGTGTGTTGTGGTCATCTCAAACATCCTGTCCAACCAACCAACGCTGGCCTATGCCATGGAGGCGTCCTTCATGTTCCTCTCTACTACAGTCACCCTCTGTCTTCTATTTGTACCTAAGGTAAGATTTCTGTTACCTAAGGGAAGATGACTGTACCAAAGTTAAGGTTTCTGATACCTAAGGTAGAATGTCTGTACCAAAATTAAGATAGCTGGTACCAAAGGTAAGATGTCTGGTACCAAAATTAAGATGGCTGATACCTAAGGTAAGATGATTGGTACCAAGCTGGTACACTTTTCTGACTAAAAATATCGTTGTAGATTCATGAGTACGAATCAGGTTTTTGTACTTAGCTTTACCAAAGAAATTTAGTTTGTGTAGTTATTTACAAGCCTGAAACTTTGTTAATAAATAAATCTACAGTGATAATCTTCCGCTGGAGAAGGTTCCCTTTTTGTTTATCATAAACTAAAAGATAGACTATATGAATATACTTTCTCCAGTGACGCATGCAAATTGAATACACATTTTGATTAAATTGAGAATATCTCTCTTTTTATCTAATTAAAGTATCCACGATCTCACTTATTTGTTTATTTTACCTTTTTCCACAATAAAGTAACTGCGAGAATCAATAAAATTATCATTAACTTATCCTTGAAAACATCCGTGAAATCTCAATGATTCCCTAATTAAAGAACTCCTGATCTCAGTAATTGCCCCCCCCCCCCCTCCCGACTGAAGCGATCGGCCAGCTCAATCACCCTCAGTCAATGCCAGAATGAATAAATCAGTCGCCTTTTTTTTCCCCTCTTGTCATCGGCAAGATGGAAATTCCCGTTGGTGACCTTCGACCCTATTTGGTTCCATCTTCTACAAAAAAATAAGTTGATCGCAAAAAACGTAAAACATATTTGAAATGCGTAGAAATATGTGTCCGTTTCGTGTGATAATTCTGAGAGGTCAAGGATAAATATCCTAACAGACATGGGTGGGAATGAGGGCAAAATAGTCGCTCCACTCCCCCCTCCCCCATGCCGATATTGAAATGTGTTAACAAAGTGGAGTTAAAGACTTGTATTATGCCCATTCTGTTCGGGTGTTTTCATGTTAGGATTAGCGTGGTTTACACTCGGATAGCAGTCACTAATTACGAGAAGGGACGAAGTGATCTAGCGGTAGAGAGCTAGACTGCTAACCCGTAAGTCTCGAGTTCGAATCCGGGTTCAAGTCAGTAGACAGAGTCCACCCAATTCTGATGGGTACCTAACTCACGTTAGGGAAAGTAAAGGTGGCTGGGCATAGTGCTGACCACACTATCTCTTCATATGCCGAGGTCACAGAAACAAGTGAACTCTACTTCACTTGCCCCATAGACCGTCAGGTTTGAAAAGAGAACTTCACACTGATTACGAGAGCAAGTACCAACAGGATCAGTCTAAAAATAAATGTAAAAAAGTGTTTTTAATGGGTGTACATTTATAAACCGTAATTGCAGTTATTGTAAATTACAATTTGAATTAAACAAAATCTTGTCAAACAGAATTTTGATATATTGTACAGCAGCTTTTGGAGTTTTCTCTCAAAGATAAATTGCTATCTTCAGATTAAGATACTCATCTGTCTAGAAATCCGCACTCTAGACTTTTGGAATTAACAGTCGTACCCCCCCCCCCCCCGACTATGCAATCCCCCTTTTTAATAAACTAAGGCCGTGTTTCTTTGTTAAATTTGACCTCAGATGGTTCCCAGTACTAAATTTAATTAAAGATACGAGGCATCGTTCACACCACTTTGTCGACAATACATTTTACCTTCCCTCTTAGGCCTATTTGTCATTTGGCGTTGTTGCAATCAGTGTTTCTTCCAGACTTTATTCCCCGGGTGTGTGTGTGGGGGGCAGGCACTTGAATTTTTTTTTTGGGGGGGGGGGGGTACGGACTAACAGTTCCTGGGTAAGTGGGGGTGCGGGCGAACACTTTTTAAAAAGTTTTATTTACTATATAAATTCTTTTCCGTGAGCCCCCCCCCCCCCCCACCCCAACCTCATAAAGAGATGCCTGGAAGAAACACTGGTTGCAACGCGAACCAAACTTCTGAATTATTGCACTAGCGAATACAGTTTTAGTCGTACAATATTAACCCACTTATTGATTGATCTTAAAACTATATAACCTCTTAAGTACGTGGACATTTCCTTAACGGCAGACCATGAATTCAGTACGTAACGAGATAAATCTCTTTCAGATTTATGCCATCGTCACCTCGGGGGGCAACCCGGTTATTGCCTGCACGGGGATCTTGGTCGACAATACCAACACTCGGAGGTTCGTTTTCGACGACCGGAAGGAGATTTATTACAGAGCGGAAGTGCAGAACAGAGTTTACAAACGGGAGTTAGTCGAGGTGAACGTTTTTTTTTATTTCAAAACAAGGAGTAAAAATGGTGTTTGGGCAATTCGAATATTTGAAATAAAAAAAAAAAATGAAAAAGAAATAAGTAAATATTTCCATTACATTAATTGAAGCCTGTATTAAGTACGGTTTAAAATTACTGTGGGTGAAACAATTATTTTAAATGATTTAAAAGCCACAGACATGATTTGTTAACCCTTTTAGAGCCACTTCGTCACTGAAAAAATAAGCTACCACCTCATAAGTTATGTATTTGATGTATAAGTGGTTATGACTTTTATAACCAGCAAAACATTTTTGAATTTGTAGAGTGGACCAGTAGACTAGTATTTGGTCATTAAACTGTAAACAGGCATTACATCTATATATTCATTAAACTTTTGGCGAATTCAATTAATTTTTAAAAGTAGGTTATTCTAATTCATCATGTGATTCAACTTATTATCAGTGTCTTCTTAAATTAAAACAAAAAGGTGTATTATCATTCATTATGCTGAATCACATCTGTTTCCAAGTGAAATAAACCATCTCGCAACTAACTGACCATTCCAATTTTACCATTCCAAGTCCAATAAATCATCTCGCAACTAACTGACCATTCCAAGTCCATTAAACCATCTCACAACTAACTGACCATTCCAATTTTACCATTCCAAGTCCTATAAACCATCTCACAACTACCTCACCTTTCGTCTGCTCAGCTTGATCAGAACCTGGCCAGGCTGGAGAGGCTGCTGGAGATGCCACTTGTGCCGTGTACGAAACTAACTGACCAGCTTCTCTATCTGCTGCCAGAGTCCAAGATCGACGGCACGCCCTGTGGTCAGCGGCGTTACAGGCGGGAATTTGATAGGTGGGTACGATGGCGGGAATTTGATAGGTGGGTACGATGGCGGGAATTTGATAGGTGGGTACGATGGCAGGAATTTGATAGGTGGGTACGATGGCGGGAATTTGATAGGTGGGTACGATGGCGGGAATTTGATAGGTGGGTACGATGGCGGGAATTTGATAGGTGGGTACGATGGCAGGAATTTGATAGGTGGGTACGATGGCAGGAATTTGATAGGTGGGTACGATGGCGGGAAGTGTCAAGGATGTAAGGTTTGAGCCAGTGTTTCCGGTTATTTGTAGCATTTCTTTGTGGCAAATTTTAGTCGGTCCGAGGTGCAAGGGGAAGTGCCCTCTCCCCCCCCCCCCCCCCCTCACACATCACGCTCCGACCCGAAAAATAAAAAAAAATTGGAATAGCATTGAGGTAGTACACACTATTCGCTTACATTATTCCAGTATTAATGAAAGGATACCAAATCTCCATCCCCATTCATAAACGGATGGAAAATAGCCGTCTTAAAATAAACGGTTATTCATGTCACTGAATAGAATGAATAAGTGTTTAGTATCTCCGTCTTCAACCTCACTATAAACAGTCCCTTTGTGTTGGCTTGTACCAAAACTTTCAGACGATCTATGTGGCATTGAACTTGATTTGACGGCTGTGTTATGTAACTTTGTATGTGGTACCCATGATATTCTACCGGCTCTCTTGGTCGAACAATAGAGCGACTAGGCCATACATGACTGGGGACCGAGTAACCATTAATCCAACGTAGAAGTTTGTAAAGAGGAAGTAGAGACAGGGCAATTTACTTGACATGACAGGCAGGGAAGGTTGGGTCAATAGCTGAGTCAGTGTAGGTAGGAGGGGGAGGGAGTAGATGGAGAAATCGTGCAGTGTTTTCCCATGGGGATTTCTGATCCGACATAGAGCTACTGGGAGAAATTGTGTACCGGGACATTATATTACTGAAATATGTCTGTATGGGGACATTAGGCTATTAAGAAACAGTTGAAACAAAGGGACATTATGTTACTAGAACAAGATTTGTAACGGGACGTAACGTAACTGAAATATGTTTTGTGTTAGCCGTGCAAGGAAATATTCAAAGTTGTAGCTATGGCGGTATGACAGGTCTGTGTTGAAATAGTTCGTGTGGTTCAGATGTCTGTAATACTATATCCCATTGCAATATCGGGTTTACGGGTGGTCGAAAAATGCGAATTTTAAATCGAATAATAGCTTTCTGAAATATATGAAATTAAGAATCCTCTTAAATAAGACGGTAACTTAGAGGGTCGTCCATAAAAGTAATAATGTCAAACAGCTGAAAAGAGGAAAGGAATTAAAACTGTTTGAGTGTGGCATTGGAGGTTGAAATGGGATAGACTATTGCATAAAATGTGGGGCGCCATTCGTGGAACCTAATTGTGTACAACAATAAAATTAATTAATTGTGTTTTTTAGGTGCAGCTCTATCTCCGATGGCGGGGAGGGGGTGATGTATGAAGAAACGGAGGACGACGATATTCTAACGGACATGGGCTTCGGTCCCCCGTTTGACTCCAGCAAACAACAACGGCCGACAAATGCGGAAAAATCTGGCTCAAAAACTTTGAACAAGCTGGGCCGTAGCTTGAGCATAGGTAGTGGGAATCGTCCACACAAGCGGAGAAAACCCAGAGAAATTCGGAAAATTTCCGGTTCTGTTTGTAAAGTTTCAAACGGCGACCAGAAAACGTATCATGGTATCTGCATGCTCAGCGGGAACCATTCCCTTATGCAGCCGTTGACCAACACTTTAGCGTGCCGTTTCGCAGATAATCTAGGTCATACGCCTGCTATAAATAGCCGTGAAACGTCATCAATTCCGAGGTTGGATAAAATAACACAAACTAGCGGAGACTCATCGGCGCCATGTTTATCTGGCAAGGACTCTTTTCTTGATGCGGAAGGAGACGAAAACGAAACCGGATGTCCGTGGGATTGTGCGGGCGGTCATTGTTTACGGTCAGACGACGCCTATTTCCCTTTACTTCAGTCCAAACCTCGTTATCTTGTTCATCAGCTACGGATAGAGGTAGTCGACGAGGACAGTAATAGCACCAGCAACAACGATGATACCCAGAGCCAGTATGGCTCTAGCCATCTTGAAACCGGAAGTGCCACGCTGTGTTCTTCGCCATCTCGGACCCCAGCAGAAGTTTGTTTAGAGCAAGCAAAAACAACGAAAGCAGAATCACGTCCTAGTGTATCGGAGCTACGAACTGTGCGATGCGGTTCGGATTTCGATATTTGGCTTGAGAAACACCAGCGCTTGTCTGACTTGCGCACGAACGGGAATTCCCCGTCTAAAATTAGGAAAACATTACGCAACGAGTCTAGACAGCACGTAATCGACAAGGTCGAGCCTGACCAATCATCTTCCTCGAAGCATTTCGTCCCCAGCCAGCCGAATCCATCCTTACAGCAACCGCCCGCCGCCAACCCAACGTGCCTAGAACATTACGTCACCCACACCCAAGCCACTGATACCGCCAACCACCCAAGCGACGACAACTCTCGCAACGACAGTTATCGTTCCTTCCTCACCCCAACGCAAGCCAACGATCATTCAAGGGGACACAACTCCGAAAATCATCAAAATTTTCAATTATCCCCCGTGCCCATCACTCACTCTACCGGTTCTCCCATGCACAAACCGAAAGATTATTCATCAACACAAACATCCTTAAATAGAAATATTAATGAGAAAACGTCGGATCTGATTCATTTTTCGGACTCCCGCCAAACCTCCATTAAAAAAAACGTCAAGCGAACCTCACATTTCCAAGAAATCCCCTCGCAACCTGGCAACGAGCATGTGACTACTGGAAATTTGCCAGATAAACTTACGCCTGCAACGCTGAAAAAACCAAACGCGCCCAATAAGAAACAGCGGATTAAAAAATTGGAAGACGATTTGTTAAAAATTCAGCAGGAACTAGATGATCTCAAAGGACAGCCTTGTGGTACATCCGAACTGTGATTTGTTTTTCTACTGCTGATTAGAAAATGATCAATATTTCATATGTTAGTGAGTTGATATTTAACTCCCCTTTGCTTGTCATAATAATCATGTAAAGATTTTGTAAAAAAAATTTAATAAAATAAATCCAAATATCACTTGTGGGATTAATTTATATATAAAGTTGCAGAAAAAATTCTCAACATGCGTAATCAGGCTCAGTGAGTTTAGCATTCTAACCAGAGCATTAATCTAAACATTAACTTAATCACAAACCTAAACACAACTGTTTCACAGTGTAGTGTGTATAGTACCCAGATAAATCATTCCAACAACCTTAATGTGAACCTATAGGTCATATTGGACCTTATCTTTGTTAATGCCACAATCCTAAACCAAACTCAACCCTGGAGCTAACCATTACTCTGTAATATCAAAATAAAAAATCTTTCAACAGTGCGTCTCAATCAGAATTATTGCACAAAGGAGATATACAGTATAGAATAAGCTGGTTGTTAAGAAAATAACTTTCTGACAAACGATGCAATTTAAAATATCAAAAAAAAAAAAAAAAAAACAACGGAAATCATTACAAATAGTTTATGTACAAAAATATTTTCACAATTTTCAATAGTCAACTTGTAGTGGGATTGGTTGAAATGAAGTCCAATGAGGATAAATGATGTAGGCATATGTAGAATAATGCAAATCAGTTGGAAATTAAAATTTCATTGATTTAGTAACACATTAAAAAAAATTATTGGTTGGATGTTGTAGACTTAACACTGTTTGAATTGAAAAAGTGGAAATTGTTTTGAGATTTTTAAAAAGCTGTTTTTTTTTTTATTTTTTGGTTAGAGTTTAAAAAACTTTTGATAATTTTAAAATAATCAAGCTTTCTAAATATTCACATTAGGTTTTGCTGTTTTACATTATTCCTTTTGAATTCACCTTATAAAATGAAGAATGCTCTAAATTAGAGCATTCAACTCCCATTATTTTACAACAAAAAATAACAATAAATACACAACCATTAAAGCTTCATTATTTTACTGTTAAAATAAAAAACTATATCATTGCAACTCCTTTATATTACTGTAAAAATTAACAATAAAAACTTAAACATTAAAATTCCGTTATTGCACAAATAAAAATAACAGTCTTAATTTTAACCTGGTATGGACACTTTTTCTTTGACCTATGTTATGCTGAGCAATCATTATCAAATCCCATATAAGCAGCATCAGGTTCAGATGTGAAGTCCTCATAAGGCACATTCTGTAAGTGTTCCTTGGGCGTGTAGCTGACGCTAAACTGGTGGTCCCTGGACTCCAGGCCCACAATATTTATCATCTCATTGTGGTCCACGGGAATCTTGGTCAGCGTGTCCTTGTGGGTGGCCTCGTACAGGCTGTTTTCAAAGTTTTTTGTTTTGGAGGCCTCCTGTCTCAGGAAGGACGACTGGACGCAGCCGTGCTTTTTGACGACAAAAAACAGGACAGCGGCAACGAGGACAACGGCTAATAAAACACCAATGACAACACCAGCTGTTTCTCCCCCAGATAAACCACCAGAATCTGTTGGCAGAGAAAAATATAATTATATTAAAACAATGCCAACACTTCTTCTTCGTTCTTAATTTTAGTGTTGGAAGTGATCCCCCTCCAACACAATTAGGGATACGTTTCAACTGGTTATGCGCCATTGGGGCCATTGACTCTGATTTCAGCCTGCTTTTCTTTTTGGATTTGCTTCCATAGCCTTTGTCCAACCAAGAACAATCTACAAGGCAGCAGTTGTTTGATTTTGGAGTTGTCTCTCCTAGAAGAGTGGCTGTCCCCAACTAACGAGCCTCATCTGCCCGAGGGTTCCAACTCGAGACTTATCGGTTTAGCAACCATGAGCTTTACCGACTCGACCACGCCGACCCCAATGCCAACACTTCCTAAACAATAGAAAGTGCTTTAGTTTCTTCTTATTCCTTTCTGTTCTATGGGGAACATAAGGCTTAAAAGACACTTAGTTAACAAATTAGATTTGTGAATATTAAAAAAAACTCAAGCCATGAAGATCTATTCTCTCCCTTTTTTTTTAAAGAGAGATGGAGTTTAAGTTTGCAAAGAGTAAAAGTCTGTTTTGGTCAACAAAACAGATGAGATTGATCTAGTATCTAGGACCTGAGCACACAAACAAGAAAACAACATGAGTACTAAAACCTTAAAGAAATAAACAAACTAAACTATATTTTTTGGATCAATGGGCCTCATATCAGCTTAAACAATAAATTCACTAAATTCTTTTGTAGTCTTCAAAGAAAATGGTAGACAACTAGATAGGCCTACAAAAACTGGAACATATTTATATTAAAGCCTTTAAAATCTAAAGTCTTTTTTTCAGACCTGATGTACAATATAGTTAAGTAGAGGTAATCTCTTACTGCAACCTCAGCATATTATCATATATTTAAAAACAAAATAATGAATTACCTGACGAGGAAGCTCCGGGTAAACTTGTATTAGTGGGTGTGGTTGACGAGACCCCAGGTTGTGGCGTGGTGCTGGTGGGTGAAGTCTGGCTGATGGAAGAGCTGCTGATGGTGATGGTGGTGCTGGCAATGTGTGGGTAGGTGATGGTTGATGGCGACACTGTTGTTGTACTGGAGGTCAAGGTCACCTGACTGTTGTAGCTCACCGAGCTGGCTGGTGGCTGGGTGGTCAGAGACTCTACAAATAGATGGTTTACAGTAGTTGATAGGTGTTTTATAACAGATGGTTTACTATAATTGTTGGGTATTCTACAAATAAATGTTTTACAGTAGGTTATAACAGATGGTATACAACAGTTGATATGTGATTTATGACAGATAGCTTATTGCAGTTGAATGGTGTTTTAAAACAGATGGTTTACAGCAGTTGTTACAGTAGGTTTACTGTAGTTGTTACATTTTCTACAAATAAATGGTTTACAGTAGTTGATAGCTGTTTTGTAACTGATAATTTACTATACTTGTTGGGTATTCTACAAGAAATAGTTTACCATAGTTGTTACATTTTTGCAACAGATGGTTTACCATAAAATTTCTACAACCAATATCTAGAGGATTTACAGTAATATTTTAATGGAAGGTAACCCATAAATGCAGCTTTGAGTCATCATCACAAATGTCTCACCTCTGGGCATGCTGCAGAGGTAACCATACTTGTCCTGACAGTCTCTGCTGCTCCAGGTACCCTGACTTGATGTGGTGACACACCCCACTTCTGCTTCATCAGCCCCACCCCACCGTGGCTGGTTATCTCCCCATGCTGTGAAGGCCAGAACTGTCCCATCCTCCCAGCTGAAACCCTCTGAAATTTATGGAATTTGTCAACCATCTTTATTAATAATTGTGTGTACCATTTTTATCAATAAGCATTCAAAATGTTTCATTAGACATCTTCATTAATAAATATGTGTATCATTTTTATTAATAGAGATACCAAATGTTTCATTTAACATCTTCATAAATGAATGTGTTAGATATTTTCATTACTGAATGTATGATTCATCATCTTCATTAAAAAGTGTATGAAAATATTTATTAATTATGTATTTTGAAGTTCATAAATGAACGTATTTGACCTCTTCATTCAAGAATGTATTCAAACAAAAAAAAAACATATTGAGTAAAAAGTTGTTTTGTAACCTGATATTTTTAGAAACCAACCACTTGATAAATTACTCGTAATAAAAAAAACAAGGAGCAATGCTGAAAGTATTATTTCTAATACTATCATTTTACAAAAACTACATACTTAATTATTTATTTATTTCTATTATATATAAATAATAGGCCTATATAATATTTGTATACCCAAGCATATATTATAAATGAAAAAAAAATGTACCATTAATTGATTCTCTTAGCCCAACCCAAATGTTTTGATCAGCAGAGAGCATTTTATTTTAGACATTACATACTTACTTTTTTTTAATTTCTATTATATATTAATAATAGATCTATATAATATTTGTATACCCAAGCATATATTATAAATGAAAAAAAAATGTACCATTAATTGATTCTCTTAGCCCAATCCAAACATTTTGATCAGCAGAGAGCATTAAGTTGAGAGATGAGTCATGAAGGGAGGCAAGAGTAGCTCCCCTTGTCCTGCAGTCATTGGCTGCCTCATCATAAGTCAGGGTAGGGCTAGTTACCAGCAGGTAGCAGGATGAACCCAGCAAGTGGAAGTCTGGGTTAGTGCAGTCACCGCCAGCTGGTGCTGATGGGGTCTGGGGTGGTTCTGTTAACAAAACCAAACAAAATATTGTATTGTGTTCATTCACAAATCTCTGACAATAACAGGTTTCATTATGGGATGGTATGCTGGGGGTGGTAGAGTGCTTGGTTGCTAACCCAAAAGTGTTGAGTTCAGAACAATTTTTGTACTTGAGTCTGCTAGGCATCCCTGAGTCTAATCGGTACCTGACTCATGTTAGGGAATAAAAGGCAGCTGTAACAGTGCTGACCAACACCACCCCTTCATATGCTGAGGTCTAGAAAGATGAACTCTACTTCATCTGCCCTTAGGAATGGTAAAGTCAGAAAGAGGAACTTTATTTTTAATTGACAAGTGCCGAATATTTAATCTTTAATCAAGCAATATTCTCAAAGGTATAGTGAGTTCTGTGCTTCATTTTTTCAGATTAATTATATTTTATAATTACAAATTTTGAAAAAAAAAAGTTATATTAAATTATCTATTTCATGTATGTTATAGAACTAAATAACATTTTAAACAGTAAATTTTGTATTTATTACAAATTCAGATTAAATACTTCTCATCTAAATCAGTCGATTTATTACAAATTTAGATTAAATATTTCTCATCAAAATCAATTGATTTATTACAAATTTAGATTAAATACTTCTCATCTAAATCAGTTGATTTATTACAAATTTAGATTAAATATTTCTCATCTAAATCAGTTTATTTGTTACGAATTTAAAATTCATAACACTGGTTAATATCTAAAATATATCAATGGTGAGAAGCAGAAAGAGAAATAGTTTATTAATAACTGACCATCATCAATTCTACACACAGATGACCGCTGGTCTGAGCATGGACCGTTGTTAAAGAGACCTCTGTTGTTGATGTAGACACAGCCCCAGTTTTGGTGGTCCAGTGGTTGATGGTGAGCCCATCTAGTGTATGTTAGCGGGTAGCCACTGTCCCACTCATATGTTCCATTTTTCTGTTAGACATAATAAAATGGAACACTTAAAAATGGTTCAATTTTGATTATATATTAAAAAATTGGCCTTTTATATTCCATTTAATTTATTGAGTTCTGTTTAAATTTTAAATGTTTGTAATTTCAAATACAATAAAATAAATTTCAATGATCAGAAGTGAAAAGTTAAAAAACAGCAGCAACAAGAACAGAAACCAACTTTTAAATCATTGAGACCAATCCAAGCGCCATCAGCAAAGCCCTGAATTATAAGCAGAGTTTCAGCCCAGTCGTAGCAGTCTAAAATTGAAATCAGGTTTCCCCCATCATTCTTACACCTGCTTCTAGCATCCTGCCATGAGAGTGTTTGATTGATAGCCTTCAGACAAGACTTGCCATGCCTTTGGTACCCATGAAGTGTATCACATTTAGCAGAGGGTGCAATGCTTGGGGGTGGTATACTGGGGTCTGAAATTTTAAACTATTTCAACTGAACAAGCAATATAAAAATAATATTTAGGTTTAGTTTTCATTTTTTTAATGGCACATAACAATGTGATACGTAATAGTTAATTATGTTGGAGGAAATATCATCAATTGTTACAATTAAAAATGAAGAAAAAGAACTAGTAGGCTACAAAGAGAATTTAATAATTTTGTTTTTGTGAAACTAACGAAATATTTGATGATTTTTTACTATACAAATTTCTCAAACCTAATGTATTTCATTTAAATTATAATATTTGTTTATTTAAAAAATTAACAAATGAAAATTTAATTACAGTTTTCCTTGGATATATTCTAAATTACTTGTAACTATGCATCTCTGATTAACTAGAAATTTCATTTGTTTTAATTTTAAAATGATTTTTAAAATCATAAAGTTATATAGCAATGAAAAGTGCACCAGTCCAGCAGTCTAAAATAAATGATCACCCAATGTTACCTGTAAAACCTTGACAAACATACGCCAAGGGCTGATCACATGGCAGGTCATTCCATTTTCCAGCATTCATCAGTGAGTTGTCAATACTGACACAACTGTCCTAAAACATGTATAATGTACAATATTATACAAGTTAAAAAATGTTTTGTACCCAATGTGGGTACAGCTAACAATGAAATCTTAATTAAATTAACTAAAAATCAAAACAATTTTTCATAAATAGAAATATTAGAAAAAAAATAATAACAACAACTGAATCTAATTTCACAGGTTTAATATATTTTTAATATCTTTTTAAAATGTCATAAATAAAGTTTTTAAAACAACATTGAGTGTTATTAAACTAAAAACATACTGTGCTTGTTGGCATGTCTGGTTTGCCCTTATTCCAGTTCACGTACGTCAGATCTTCATTGTCTGACCAGAGAAACTGACCAGCACTCAACCTCCTGAGACCAACCCATGCTGGTTGTCCATAGCTTGCAAGAAGTGTTGTTATGAAGGCTAAAGCATTGCGATTAAAACATTTGAAGTTACTTCCAAGCATAAGGATCTATTTTAAAACAACCACATTAAGACAGCAGTTTAAAAAATTTTAATGTTGTACTTCCTATTAAAATCTTTCAAGTCCTTCTTAACTACACCATTACCCTACTCATCCCTCATCCCGCTTTAAATCTATAGCCATTTAAAATGTATTGTTCACCGGAAAGATACGAAACAAAAAAAAGTTGCACAACGTAAAGCTGCACACAAAAAAGTGGGCAAGGACAATTTTAATTTCTTAAATTGAGCAACTATAGATATTATCAAAGAAGAACTACTACAAGTTCATTTCCTCAAAATATGACAAAATTAAAGAGTATTAGTATAATTAGTTTCTGTTTGCGGATTTTTCCGTTGGGCAGTTTTTCCACTGCGCATTTTTATAGCAACCATTTGTATATTTATACATAAAAACATATATGTATATGTGTGTATATATATATATATATATATATATATATATATATATATATATATATATATATATATATATATATATATATATATATATATATATAATATTTATTATATTATGTGTTTCTTTATTATTATGTGTGTCTGTTTGTTTGTTTGTCTATCTTTTATGCATTACTACACCTTTCATCTGATGGCAATGAAACTTTGGGAAGTTGATGAGAATACCCCTGCAAATTTGCAGGAGTGGCGCCCCGACAGGGTGCAATCTTTTTCCTCTATATACAGTATATAAAAAATAAAAGCCAATTGCGGTTTGACACTGTTTATCCAATTGTCTTAAAACTTTGGGGAGTTGATTAGAACACTTGCAGGGAAGGGTTCTGCAAAAAAAATCTTTTTAATTTCGCATTGGCTATGCCACGGGAGGGTGCGATTTTTCTCCATATATGGTATATAAAAAAATGAAAGTCTGACACCGTTCGGGGATTTTATTAGAACACTCCAGGGGAGGTTTCTGTAAAACAATCTTTTTTAATTTCACAAGGGAGGTGCCCCGTGAGGGTGTGATTCTTCTCTATATATGGTATATTAAAAAAAATATAAGTCAGATGCAGTTTGGCACCTTTCACCCGAGTGCTATAAAACTTTAAGTAGTTAATGAGAATACTTCTGGGAATGTTTCTGTTAACAAAATAATAAAAATTTGAAATGAGCGGCGCTCAGGAGGGTGCTATTTTCATCAATTACACTCTTTGGCACTGGTGCCCAGAGATGCAGACGGCTATGCTAGCACTTGGCATCTTTTAATCGAGCGTCCTGCATACTGGGTAACGGGTACTACTATATTCAGCATTAAAACTTCAACATGTGCCGTAGATTGCACGACCAGAAGCGCCCAGGGTTTCCCTGCGAGGACTATGGCGCCTCTGCAGTAGTATAATCAATGGCTCCCAAGAGTACCCCTCTACGTCCCTGAAACATGGGCGTTCACCGAAGTATGTTCTACCTCATTATATCGGTGAGTGATTGACATACACTCAAGGTTTTCATGCAGTAGTGTAGGTACACCTGTGTCCCGACTTTTGCGCTCCAAGCGCAGACATTGTTTACATTTATATAACTCATTTCTAGAAAACAAGGTCACGCGTCTAAGAACATAGGATTGGTAATGCATTCATGAAACCCCTTCTTATATATTTCGTCAGACTTTCTTCTATTCCCGCAGCAACGTGCAGTGACGGGAATGCTAGTGTATATATAAATAAATAAATAAATGTATATATAGATATATGTATATATGTATATATATATATATATATATATATATATATATATATATATATATATATATATATATATATATATATATATATATATATATATATATATATATATGTATATATATATATGTATATATATATATATATATGTATATATATATATATATATATATATATATATATATATATATATATATATATATGTATATATATATATGTATATATATATATATATATGTATATATATATATATATATATATATATATATATATATATATATATATATATGTATATATATATATGTATATATATATTTATATATGTGTATATATATATATATATATATATATATATATATATATATATATATATATATATATATATATATATATATATATATGTGCATATATATATATATATATATATGTGTGTGTATATATATATATATATATATATATATATATTTAAAGGAAAAACTAAAATTCAACTGAATATTTACATTGGTTGGTAATATGTGATATTAACACCACAAAATATTGCCTAACAATATGCTAGCCTGCAAATATAACATTTACAACATTTTACAAATTATATATATATATAAGTTGAATAACAGTTTAGTATTGGGTCTCTTGGCATAAGATTTATCTGAAATCAATGGACGTTAAAGATTTATAGATGATTCTTCTAGGATTTTAATACAACTATTTAGTATAAACAATAAATGATATTACCCATTTTAATGCTACAACCAACACATTTATAATAATTTTGTACAACTGTTGTACAAATTGTTGGCTGTTTTTTCCCTTGGGTAACGAGATGTAAAGATGGGAAGTAACTCAAAGAAATAATATTGAATAATAAATCAGGTTATATTTTTAACCATTTAATTTTTTAGCATTTGTTATTCATAACTAAATTCCATTTTAATTTTACGACTGCTTTAATTACATGTAGGCCCTATAGGCTTATATCTCTATTTATATATGTATATTATTAAATTGCCAATTTATTTAATTCATCCATCATATAAATGTCACATTTTTCTCAAAAAGCCTGACTAAAATGACATAACACTTTACACTCCCATCTCCTTCACAACTGTAACTTTCTTTTTTTAAAATTTTAAACTGCATTTTTTAATTTGTTATATATGAACTGAGCTTGTTCAACATTTAGCGTATTGATCTATTTTTATTACAATTTATAAATCTTTCAAATCATAAAAGTTAAAATTCAGTTTCTAAAATTAGTTTTAAAATACAAAAGTGTATCAACATACTTTCTGAACCCAATCCCCTTTTTCATCACAAAAACCCAAACCCCATCCCCCTACAAGTGTGGCGTCATTTATGGGCAACCCCTATTTAAAGTTTTTGCCCTTCTCCAAGTAGTAGTTAGCACCTCCTAGTTTGGAAACCCCTACATAACTATGATATTAGACATACACACATAGCACACACAACTTTATAAAATTTAACATGTGAAATGTAAAATTTGTCAGAAATGAAAAGTATGATTTGTTTCATTAAACTTGATAAAACCACAAGCACCTGGATAAAATTACAAGATTATAAAAAGTTGGATTAGGAAAGGTTTCTTTTAAACTTTTGAAACTATTTCATTTTTTGAATAGCTTTTGCTCAATTTTTTTTCATTTTATCTTTTATTTCCTAATGAAAAATTAGATCTACATTTAAAAAAATAATTAATAAAGAACATAATTTATCAATAAAGATTTTTATACCTCACAAGAACATTATGAAGTACGAGCCGGCCCGCGGCATAACATACGCCGCTATTTAGTTGTTGTTTTTTCTACTTTTCAGTAATTCATAATTTGTGAATTCGACAGTATTAACGCTGACACTGAAAATATTTCTTTAAAACACTATAAGTAGCTCGTTAAGGACCATCCTCCCCCCCCCCCCCCCAACCTTTAAAATCGTTTTAAACTAAATTATCTGCCCCTAATAGCCATCACTAAACCCGACTCCACGAAGGTAAACATAGCGTCAACCACAGCTCACTAAGACCATGTAGGGGTGGGGATGGTAGGGAGCGCATTTACAGCTTGTTTTCTAGCGTCTCCCAGAAGAGAATTATATATATAGATTTTGAATTTTTTAGAACCCACCATTTTCCATGATAGATGTAGCACTGGCCAGGTCCACAGTGTAGTTTGCCACTTTGTCCACCACCAATTTACTGCAAGACTTCCTTGCATCTGCCCATGTTTGTGGGTTGCCTGCGTTTGGTACACCCAGCACTCTGCAGTTAACCAAAGTATATTTCATTCAATAAGCCATGCCAAAGAAAACAATAAAATATATTACAAACATATTTATCAATCATGAAAACAATTAATACTCAATAATTTCCAACCACAGCTTGGTTGGATGGTGAAGGACATTACTGCTAACATGAAAGTCTTGTGTTCAGATCCTGGACTGATGTCCACCCAGCTCTGATGAGTACCTCATTTGGGAAAAGTTATAGCAGCCTGGGTATAGTACTGACCAAACTATATATCAGGTCAATGAAACTGATGAACTCTACTTCACATGCCCAATGTCTCTAACAGGAAAAGATGATGATAATTTGAAAAAAAAAAAATTATTTCATTAATTTAATTTTACTGTACAAAATATAAATATTTAGTTTTGAAATTATTTGTTTTAATTATTTAACTGCATCTTAAAATACACAATAAACATTTCAGATGTTTTCAGAAGTTTTAGAAATTAAAAGTCAGCATGTAATTAACTCACCTGTAACATTTTTGGCCAAATTTGCTAAAATTTGGTGGGCAATTTCCATTTGGCCTTGAGACGTTGGTCGCATGTGTAACATTTGTTCCAGGGACAGGCTGCTTGCAGATAAAACCTTGGCGTCTGCTGCAGTGCTGGTCATTCCATTTTCCTGTTGACAGAAATCTTCATAGCAAATCAACTCATTATTACATTTTAAAACTACACATTGTATGGGTTCTAATGTGAATTTAAGATCTAATAATATAAGTGGAGAATTCCTGCAGTAACATTGGAGTGTAGAAAGATACAACATATAAAGGAACAGTCTGGCTTTGTGAAATTTGTTAAATCACCAGATAAAGGTAAACAACTAAGTCTCTTTGGTAACTTTAATAGTGTTATGTTCTTACCATTTCTAACCAAGATCTCGGTGCAAGCTTCATAGCCATTCTCATCATTAGGTTCATTCACATTCCAGTTGAATAGATTCACAGGACTTCTGTCTGTCCAACTTGATTATATATATATATATATATATATATATATATATATATATATATATATATATATATATATATATATATATATATGCATATGTATTTATGTATGTATATACTTAAGTATATATATCTATATATAAATGAAGCAGTTAGTCGTGGAATAAGAAACTGTATTTAAATGAATACACATATAGTAAGTTTAAGTACTGCTCCCCTTTCATATCTAAAGATGTGGTAGAGATTATATTTCTTGAAATTGTCATATGAAGGAATGGTGTGGTTAGCATAATGCCTAGCTGCCTTTACTTTCCCCAACATGAGTTGGGTAACCATCAAAGCTGGGTGGACACAGGGACTTCCTACAGTCCCAAGTCCAGACCGTGATCCAAACTCAAGACCTATTGATAAGTAGCTGAATGCTCTACCATTTGACCACACCATCCCTTAAATTAATAGATTTATTCATATGCATTTGCATACAAGAACATATATTTAAGCCTACAAACACATACAAATGGGCCTACACAAAAAACTAAATTAATATAATTTATAAAAATAGATTTACAGCCTATTTTTTTTTCTTATTATAGACTACAAAATAACATTTAAAAGTAATTTATAATCACCTGTATCCACTGTTTCTATCCAACTCATTCAATCCAATCCAGATAGATTCACTTATTACCCCATACTTAAACTGTAGATTGATAAATTCGGCATCCATGAGAAAACAATAAACTATGCTATAAGGTAAAAAACAAATCACAGTGCAAAGCAACACTATAAAAGAGAGAATCAGAAAGTGAATGTTGACCTATGTCAAAACCCACTCACCACCCCCTGTAGAAACCTACTCACCACCCCCTGTAGAAACCTACTCACCAGCCCCTGTAGAAACCTACTAACCACCCCTTGTAGAATCCTACTCACCACCCCGTGTAGAAACCTACTCACCACCCCCTGTAGAAACCTATTCACTACCCCCTGTGAAACCTACTCACCATCCCCTGTAGAAACCTACTAACCACCCCTTGTAGAATCCTACTCACCACCCCGTGTAGAAACCTACTAACCACCCCCTGTGAAACCTACTAACCACCCCTTGTAGAATCCTACTCACCACCCCCTGTAGAAACCTACTAACCACCCCTTGTAGAATCCTACTCACCACCCCCTGTAGAAACCTACTCACCACCCCCTGTAGAAACCTACTAACCACCCCTTGTAGAAACCTACTCAACACCCCCTGTAGAAACCTACTAACCACCCCTTGTAGAAACCTACTAACCACCCCCTGTGAAACCTACTAACCACCCCTTGTAGAATCCTACTCACCACCCCCTGTAGAAACCTACTAACCACCCCTTGTAGAATCCTACTCACCACCCCGTGTAGAAACCTACTAACCACCCCCTGTGAAACCTACTAACCACCCCTTGTAGAATCCTACTCACCACCCCCTGTAGAAACCTACTAACCACCCCCTGTAGAAACCTACTCACCACCCCCTGTAGAAACCTACTCAACACTCCCTGTAGAAACCTACTCGCCACCCCCTGTAGAAACCTACTAACCACCCCTTGTAGAAACCTACTAACCACCCCGTGTAGAAACCTACTAACCACCCCCTGTAGAAACCTACTCACCATCCCCTGTAGAAACCTACTAACCACCCCGTGTAGAAACCTACTAACCACCCCCTGTGAAACCTACTAACCACCCCTTGTAGAAACCTACTAACCACCCCTTGTAGAATCCTACTCACCACCCCGTGTAGAAACCTACTAACCACCCCCTGTAGAAACCTACTCACCACCCCCTGTAGAAACCTACTCAACACTCCCTGTAGAAACCTACTCACCACCCCCTGTAGAAACCTACTCACCACCCCCTGTAGAAACCTACTCACCACCCCCTGTAGAAACCTACTCACCACCCCCTGTAGAAACCTACTCACCACCCCCTGTAGAAACCTACTCAACACTCCCTGTAGAAACCTACTCACCACCCCTTGTAGAAACCTACTCACCAACCCCTGTAGAAACCCACTCACCACCCCCTGTAGAAACCTACTCACCACCCCCTGTAGAAACCTACTCACCACCCCCTGTAGAAACCTACTCACCACCCCCTGTAGAAACCTACTCACCACCCCCTGTAGAAACCTACTCACCACCCCCTGTAGAAACCTACTAACCACCCCTTGTAGAATCCTACTCACCACCCCGTGTAGAAACCTACTAACCACCCCCTGTAGAAACCTACTCGCCACCCCCTGTAGAAACCTACTCACCATCCCCTGTAGAAACCTACTAACCACCCCGTGTAGAAACCTACTAACCACCCCCTGTGAAACCTACTAACCACCCCTTGTAGAAACCTACTAACCACCCCTTGTAGAATCCTACTCACCACCCCGTGTAGAAACCTACTAACCACCCCCTGTAGAAACCTACTCACCACCCCCTGTAGAAACCTACTCACCACCCCCTGTAGAAACCTACTAACCACCCCTTGTAGAATCCTACTCACCACCCCGTGTAGAAACCTACTCACCATCCCCTGTAGAAACCTACTAACCACCCCCTGTAGAAACCTACTCACCACCCCCTGTAGAAACCTACTCACCACCCCCTGTAGAAACCTACTAACCACCCCTTGTAGAATCCTACTCACCACCCCGTGTAGAAACCTACTAACCACCCCCTGTAGAAACCTACTCACCACCCCCTGTAGAAACCTACTAACCACCCCCTGTAGAAACCTACTAACCACCCCTTGTAGAATCCTACTCACCACCCCGTGTAGAAACCTACTAACCACCCCCTGTAGAAACCTACTCACCACCCCCTGTAGAAACCTACTCACCACCCCCTGTAGAAACCTACTAACCACCCCGTGTAGAAACCTACTCACCATCCCCTGTAGAAACCTACTAACCACCCCTTGTAGAATCCTACTCACCACCCCGTGTAGAAACCTACTAACCACCCCCTGTAGAAACCTACTCGCCACCCCCTGTAGAAACCTACTCACCATCCCCTGTAGAAACCTACTAACCACCCCGTGTAGAAACCTACTAACCACCCCCTGTGAAACCTACTAACCACCCCTTGTAGAAACCTACTAACCACCCCTTGTAGAATCCTACTCACCACACCGTGTAGAAACCTACTAACCACCCCCTGTAGAAACCTACTCACCACCCCCTGTAGAAACCCACTCACCACCCCCTGTAGAAACCTACTCACCACCTCCTGTAGAAATCTGCTCTCATCATGAAACCTACTCACCACCCCCTGTAGAAACCTACTCACCACCCCCTGTAGAAACCTACTCACCACCCCCTGTAGAAACCTACTCAACACTCCCTGTAGAAACCTACTCACCACCCCGTTACCACCCCCTGTAGAAACCTACTCACCACCCCCTGTAGAAACCTACTCAACACTCCCTGTAGAAACCTACTCACCACCCCCTGTAGAAACCTACTCACCACCCCCTGTAGAAACCTACTCACCACCCCCTGTAGAAACCTACTCACCACCCCCTGTAGAAACCTACTCACCACCCCCTGTAGAAACCTACTCACCACCCCCTGTAGAAACCTACTCACCACCCCCTGTAGAAACCTACTCAACACTCCCTGTAGAAACCTACTCACCACCCCGTTACCACCCCCTGTAGAAACCTACTCACCACCCCCTGTAGAAACCTACTCACCACCCCCTGTAGAAACCTACTCACCACCCCCTGTAGAAATCTACTCATCACCCCCTGTAGAAACTACTCACCACCCCCTGTAGAAACCTACTCACCACCCCCTGTAGAAACTACTCACCACCCCCTGTAGAAACCTACTCACCACCCCCTGTAGAAACCTACTCACCACCCCCTGTAGAAACCTACTCACCACCCCCTGTAGAAACCTACTCACCACCCCCTGTAGAAACCTACTCACCACCCCCTGTAGAAACCTACTCACCACCCCCTGTAGAAACCTACTCACCACCCCCTGTAGAAACCTACTCACCACCCCCTGTAGAAACCTACTCACCACCCCCTGTAGAAACCTACTCACCACCCCCTGTAGAAACCTACTCACCACCTCCTGTAGAAACCTACTCACCACCCCCTGTAGAAACCTGTTCTCATCCTCACTGTTGATGGAGACCAGATCTGCCCCATATCTGCCACACCACTGCCTGCTCTCCCTCCACGTCAGGGAGCCATCAGCCCCACCCTGCCCATCAGAGATGTGATAGCAGTAGTTTTTGTACTTGAGCCAGGTGCCGGTCAATGACCTACAACCATCATCTGGACATAAAACAACCTCATTTAAAAAAAAAAAATCATTTTTTTAAATTATTTTAATTCAAATTTGTTTAAATGCACACAATCAATGACGGTTCAACATACTTAAAAGCAAAGATCAGTAATCAACCAAACTGAAACCAGTTTTAATTTGTTGCTATGTTTTTGCCAATTAAACTAACCTTTAAAAATTTTTTAAATTTTATTCAAGCATATAAGTATGTTTATTGGATAGATAATGAATGGGGTGGTATTTTAATAAAGCAAATGGCTGAAATATCTTTAACATAACAAGACTTGAACAAAAGAAATTGGAAATTAAAAAACTAAAGCATATGCAGTAATAGAATAAAGTATTCTGCAAATGTAGGTGTTTGATGCAAAGACGTAGCGAGGGGGGTGTGTGTGTGTGGGGGTGCGAACCGCACCGGGTGACACCAAGGCAAAAAATAGCAATATATAGAGAAAAATGATAATTCCACTTAATTAAGTGATTAATTCCAGTGTTAAATAATCTTTCAAGAGGTGCAAATCAAAAATTCAAGATTTGTCTCCGGGAATGGTCGCTACGCCTCTGGGGGGGGGGGGGGTGACACCATTAAGTGCCGTACCGGGTGACACATGACCTCGCTACGCCACTGGTCCGATGTACATACCTGTGTCAGGTGGTGGGTAAACTACTGGAGGAATCACCACAGTAGCTTTACCTGTAAAATTATTTTGGCAAAAAATTAACAATAAGAAAACAAGGCTTGTCACTACTATTTTGAATTCAAATTTTGTATTCATTTTGTTTGATTTCTTACCCCCTGAAAACATAAAGAAATAGATACCATTTTGCTTCTAATTTTAACTATATTGGTCTTTATCTTTACGTACAAAGAGATATAGATCATGATAATTGTAGTAAAAAAATTTCTATGAAGCATTGTAGTTCTAAAAGTTTACCTTTCTCAATACTGCATATCCATCCCTTCAGCTGTTGACAAGACTGCAGACCCAAAGCAGATGCAGTGGTCAGTAGCTCACCACACACATAGCCCACAATATCTGACCTCGGTTGACCAGTGCCCCATTTGATGAAGTTGACAACTGAACCATCTGTCCATTCATAGCCTGGAGAGTTGACCAGAAACAAAAGTTTGATCAACTATAGCTAGGGTAAAATGGATATAAGTCTGTTAAATTAAATATCAAGGTTTGAGTTTTAAGTATAGTTAGTTGGGAAACAAAAAGTAGAAATTTAAAATAAATTGTAAAAATTTTGTGACATATTAACAAATTAAATATGTTGGAAATTTCCCATTTACATTTAATTTAGTCTATTTTGGGGTGACCAATAAGAAACTCCATCAAATTATATGAATGAAGGCAATTAATTATAATATTTTTATTGTATAATTATGTAGCAAATTTTAATGACAAAAACAGTAGAAATTACTATAATTTCATTAAACACTTACTTAGTTAAATGCAATTTAGTTTTACCAGAGGAATAATCTTATTACTTATGCATATTTATAAAAGAAATAGCATTTCTTTTTTTGAAGTAAAAGCCGAGATCATTTTTTACCTGTTGATAAATCTAAATTGTTTAGACCAATCCAAAAGTTTCCACTGCTTGGGGAGCTATTAAATATAAGACATCATGTATCAATAATTACTTCTCTCAGTACTCTTATAGTTATGGAGCTAAAATATAAACCAGAATAGTTTTCATAAGTTAAGTTTAAAAAAAACCCATTCATGTTGATATATTAAATGTGGATTCAATTTTTTTTTAAAGTAAAGCTAACAAGACATACTTTAACACATACTTTAAGAGAATACTTAATGAAAGTTGTATAATGGTATTTTGACATTTAATTGCAGTTGCATAACGTTACCTGAATTTGGAGATGAGATTTTTGAAGACAGAATCACTATGAAAGCTAGCTAGATTTGCACCTTTGCTCCTGCAGTCTTCTTCAGCCTCATGCCAAGCCAGGTACGAAGTAGCATCTCCAGCATTTACCTGAGTAAGTATAGTGGTTAACAAAATCATCATTTATCTACTTAGATATTGTGTTCATTGAAAAAATGAACACGTTTTATACATGTAGTTATTTAAGTAGTTTTTGGCAGCATTAAACACTTACTATTCAAAGCAAAAAAAAAACAACAATTAATTAAAAAATAAATAAATAAATAAAACAATTAACAAACAAATAAGTTGTTAATATTAGATGGTCTATCTTTATTTAAAGCTGATTCCCCTACATATTGAAGGATTAGTATCTTGTTTTCAAAACACGTTTACCAGTTTCTTTCAAAGTAGAATATTTCGACCAATAAACAGTTCAAACTATATAGTGTTCTACAATTTTCTAATTTAATTTTTTAAAATAATTGGTTATAATTATAGATTTAATTACAGATCTTTCAGCCAGGTGTTAATTGTGAGTCACCTGATAACATAAACTGTCACCATATGTTTGCCAGCCATCTGAGCAGCTGGTTGTTGCCCCTGTTGTTGGTGTGGGGCTGGTGTTTGGTGTGGCTGTTACATTACGTGGGAGCTGACAGATGTAGCTGTTCCTGGTCTGACAGTCACTGTTGTACCACATCCCCCCATTTGCTCCTGTCCCAATACTCACACAGCTGCCAGAGGAATCTGAGTGGGGCAAGGTTATAAATAGATGGGGCAAGGTTATAAATAGATGGGGCAAGGTTATAAATAGATGAGGGAAGGTTAGAAACACAAATAAAAAAAAAATTAAACACAAAAATCCCTGTGTGTTTTGCTGGTGCATACACTTTAAAAAAAAAGTAATTTATGTCACACACCTAGGGGGAAGGGTGTTAATGCTGACTTTTGTGATTATGTATGTTGTTTAGTTGGGGATAGCATGATTGGTGCTAACTTTTTTGATTATGTATGTTGTTTAGTTCGGGGTAGCATGGTTGGTGCTGACTTTTGTGCTTTTGTATGGAGTAGCCAATTTGGTTGGGCTGATGAGCAGCATTTATTTGTATCATAATTCTGTTTTGTTTTAGGTGGGGGAACGTTGTAGCATATGTTTAGAATGTCTGGCAATATGTGATAATGTTAAAATAGTGGTAGAAGGGGAGAGGTTCAATAGTGTGATATTATTGAATGGATCATCCCTAATACAAAGACAAGGTTCAATAGTGTGATATTATTGAATGGATCATCCCTAATACAAAGACAAGGTTCAATAGTGTGATATTATTGAATGGATCATCCGTAATATGAAAACAAGGTTAAATAGTGTTATATCATTTGATGGATCATTCCTAATACGCATTTACTTCTAGACTACCTGGTTTTTGTGCTGCCCAGTTGGTAAACAAAATCTGTGAAGTCCCATAAAAATGTTGATAAAATCCAGTGGAGTTTGAATCCAAAATATCAATCCAGAAATATCCATCAGAGCGCAACAGAAAACTCGTCACAAAAGAGTTTTCTTTTCTGTATAAAAATTAAATTTAAGAGACTTAATAGTATTTTTAAATGTAACCCTTGTCCAAGATATTTATTCTTAAATATATTAAGTGATTCGATCATATTTTCACAAAAACAAATTGTCACCTTCTATAACCTTTAGTTAATTTTTTTCATTTTAATCATACATAAAAAATTGAAGCACTTCGCTGTCTAAAACTATGACAAAATAAGAACAAAACTATGAACTTACTCAGAACTTATGTGCAGAAGAGTTGCACCTTCCAGTTCACATAATGACTTTGCTGAAGTCCAACTATTTTTTAGACGATTCAGTCTAAAACATTTGTCATCAAACCCAATCCAACCCTAGAGACAAAATAAAATACAAGATGTATATGAAGCAAATTTAAGTAGAAACAAAATAAAATACAAGATGTATATGAAGCAAATTTAAGTAGAAACAAAATAAAATACAAGATGGATATGAAGCAAATTTAAGTAGAAACAAAATAAAATACAAGATGGATATGAAGCAAATTTAAGTAGAAACAAAATAAACTACAAGATGGATATGAAGCAAATTTAAGTAGAAACAAAATAAAATACAAGATGGATATGAAGCAAATGTAAGTAGAAACAAAATAAAATACAAGATGTATATGAAGCAAATTTAAGTAGAAACAAAATAAAATACAAGATGTATATGAAGCAAATTTAAGTAGAAACAAAATAAAATACAAGATGGATATGAAGCAAATTTAAGTAGAAACAAAATAAAATACAAGATGTATATGAAGCAAATTTAAGTAGAAACAAAATAAAATACAAGTTGGATATGAAGCAAATTTAAAGTAGAGACAAAATAAAATATAAGTTGGATATGAAGCAAATTTAAAGTAGAGACAAAATAAAATATAAGTTGGATATGAAGCAAATTTAAAGTAGAGACAAAATAAAATACAAGATGGACAGAAATCATCAATTTTTTTCAACCTTTGCATGTGAAAATACTGAGCACTATGAATAGCTGTCTTTAAGTTCCTGACCTGAGTCAGGTACCCATTAGAGATAAATATACACATGCATATTCTATAGACTTAGCCGGTGAATTGGAGTGTAGAAATGTAGATTAACAATCATTGCACTACCACTTAATGTTGTCTCCCCAAACTGATTTGCCAGATATAAAATATTTTTTTTTAAGTTGTAGCAAAAAGCCTATAAATATATTTTATACAGTTAGTTTGCAATCTCTGTTGATCAATAGGAATAAAGATAATGTATCATGAACCTGCAAACAGCCTGTGTCTTGCCTAACATTGACAGGGGCATCAGATGCTTTCTTCTTCATTTTACATATAAAAGGGATGTAACTCTCACTGTATGTAGTGGCCCATCTCCCATCCTGCAAGTATCACATACAAAATAATTTAATGAAATATAAAGAAGTGATAAAAGTGCTAACATTCTGTTGGAATTACACAAGAGTTATAAACCATGAGGAAACTAAACTTTTGGCTGATAAGAATGTAGGAGAGTATATGAAGACATACCTGATCTATGGTGACACTATGTGCATCAAGACCTGGATCAGTCTGGGGCTGATGTGCTCCCCAGTTTGTGAACAAAACCTCTTTCTGAGAGGACCAATCAAAAGTTAGTTGAAGTTTCAAGTCATTGAGCCCAATCCAAGCCTTGGTAACTAAAAAAATGTTTTTATTCTTAGTATAATATTTAGGTGCAAACATTAAAAAATACTTATCCCCTAATAATAATGGCATTTAATTTAATATGGAAGAAAGTTGCATATTATGATCAATATTTTAATTATTGAAACTTTAAATCTATGTAATAAAATAATTAATTTTTGTTTAAATAACTAACTTAATTTTAATTTTTAGAATAACTGACTTCATAAACCCTTATTTTAAAACATTACTAAAGATTCAAACATGTTTTGAATGAAACTACAAAGAAAGAATGTACCATTATCAGTGAGCAGACTAGATATAAAGATGTTTTCCTGCCTGTCCACAACATCAGCTAGATCAGATGACAGTTTGGCACAAGTTGATGATGCATCACTCCAAGTTTTTGGTTGTCCCACCAACATGTAGCAGCTGTCTCTGTATGGCCGCCACCCATTTGGGCACACTAAACTTGAAGCACCTATACTCAAATAGACATGCCAGTACAGTTTTTTTTATAAAGTAGCCAAATGAGTTTAAAGTATTTATAATAAAAAGCCAATGGACTTTAAGTACTAAAACAAACAAGCACAGTTTTTCAAAAATAAAATAACCAAATCACTTTAAAGTATTTCAACAAACCAGTACAGTTTTCTATAAAATAGTCAAATAATTTTAAAGTATATGTTGCAGTTGGTATTGAATAAAAATACAGTTAATGCTATGATATCTGAGAAGATTACCAGTTTTACTACCTTTAGCTCTGTTTACATCATACTATTAAATTATTATAAGTCAGGGCTACAATATAAGTAGTTATTGTTGTAATAATACTGTAAATTTATCCTTACTTTGAACTATACATTAAGTAATTAATGGTAACTTAATTTTAGCTAGCTTTACACTAAAGATAAAATTTGTCATTATTGGGGATTATGATTCCAAATGACATTATACCAATCAACTTCGTCTCTTGCACAAAATTTTTTTATTTTACTGTATTTAAGAATTAGGTAGAAAATAACTACTAGAGTGAATTATATACTAAACATTAAGTTTCTGATTATGTTTTAACTTGTATGTAATATGAAGTGCTGCTATAGCAATACTTTCAGCAGAAATGAAGTTAAAAATGTCTCTCTACTTGAAGGATTCACCAATCATTTTTGTAGCAATAGATTGTTTCATGGCCAGGTCCTAAAAATTCAACTTCAACTTTTTAACTTACTCAAGCCTGTACTGTAGATCAAATTAGCCTTGTCTCCCCCACACACCTTGTCTGAGTAGGGATCCAGACATAGAGTGGAGCAGTCATTGGATGGACCATACATGCCATAGTCATTTCCACAGGAGCACAGGGTACTATTCTCCAACCCAGCATAGCTAAAACCCTGAATATGTATATGGGGTTCTTGTTTCAATAAATAAGTCTATGGGAATATGCATGTAGGATTCTTGTGTCAATAAAATTAACAATGGGAATATGTATATGGTATTCTTAAGTCAATAAATAGACCTACGGGAACATGAATATGGAGTTATTGTCAATAAACATGCCTAGATGTTCACTTCAAATATTAGATACATATGTTATCATATTAAGCTTCATCACTAGTTTACTATAGTTTTTTCTGATATTTGCTAAAAGATATGACATTACATTTATAAATACATGTAATTTGGCTTGATAAAAAGAAGAAGCAATGTAGGCCTACCTTTTGGAAACAAAGAGAGACGCAAGAATCTGGAAAAATGTTGGCAAATTTGTCCAGCTGTGGCGTAAACGGAAGGTCTGGGTCAGCGATCTCATCAGCATAACAGCCCAGTGGTGACATAGTAGGCTCTACAACACATCAAATACAATTTTAACTATCTCATCAGCATAACAGCTCAGTCGTGACATAGTAGGCTCTACAACACATCAAACAAATACAATTTTAACTATCTCATCAGCATAACAACCTAGTGGTGACATAGTGGGCTCTACAACACATCAAACAAATACAATTTTAACTATCTCATCAGCATAACAGCCCAGTGGTGACATAGTAGGCTCTACAACACATCAAATACAATTTTAACTATCTCATCAGCATAACAGCCCAGTGGTGACATAGTGGGCTCTACAACACATCAAACAAATACAATTTTAACTATCTCATCAGCATAACAACCTAGTGGTGACATAGTGGGCTCTACAACACATCAAACAAATACAATTTTAACTATCTCATCAGCATAACAGCCCAGTGGTGACATAGTAGGCTCTACAACACATCAAATACAATTTTAACTATCTCATCAGCATAACAGCCCAGTGGTGACATAGTGGGCTCTACAACACAACAAACAAATACAATTTTAACTATTTCATCAGCATAACAACCTAGTGGTGACATAGTAGGCTCTACAACACATCAAATACAATTTTAACTATCTCATCAGCATAACAACCCAGTGGTGACATAGTAGGCTCTACATCACATCAAACAAATATAATTTTAAATTTCTCATCAGCATAACAGCCCAGTGGTGACATAGTAGGCTCTACATCACATCAAATACAATTTTAACTATCTCATCAGCATAACAGCCCAGTGGTGACATAGTAGGCTCTACAACACAACAAACAAATATAATTTTAACTATCTCATCAGCATAACAACCTAGTGGTGACATAGTAGGCTCTACAACACATCAAACAAGTACAATTTTAACTATTTTATCAGCATAACAGCCCAGTGGTGACTTAGTAGGCTCTACAAAACATAAAAAAAAATAACTTTTAACTTTTGCAAGGAGAGATACAATGGTTAAAGTCATTTTAAAATTTTTAAAAATATATAAAATAAGGATTCAACAATACAAATAGATAATTTAAAAAACAAGTAACAAACAAAGGCTGTTCAAGAAAATATAAATTTAATAAAACAAAATAAATTTAAAATGTAAAATTTACAGACATATTAAATTTTAAAGAATAAAAATTTACTAGAATTGACACAGAAAACTATTTAAACTTTAAAAATATAAAAGCGAAACAATTTTTGTTTCTAAAAGCTTTGAAAACCTAAAAAATAGCTTACGTGGGCAAGCATAGACCTCCCACCTAAGGGCTATGGATCTTTGAAACTCATGAGGCCAGAGCTGAACATATCTTGCAGCTACTGGTGGAGATAATTCATTTTTAAGCACAGTAGAGCCATCAAAGTTACCTTGGTACAGCTAGGAATGAAAACAATAAAACATTTTAGTTTTATCCATGTTATTTTTTGACTAATAAATCATGTATAGTAATACTTCTAATCAATTTTTTTTCCATTTCTTATTTTTCCTAATTAATAAATATACCAAGTTGTTAATTTGATTTAAAAAAAAAAACTAATCTAGCTTACATTTGATTGGGAGGGGACAGTATACTTTGAAGTGTGGTATGTGGTATTTCCTTGATAACTGCTGTAGGTACTGCTGCCATTTGAAAAAGACAGGAAGTAACTTTTGACCCATGACCCATCTGACTGTGACCCTTGTGTAGCCACTGCTGTGATCTGAGCTATGAAACCCAAATCTAGCTAAGAAAGAGATGTGAGATTGTTATATTAAAAATTATTAATATACATGTTAATTGTATAACCATTTGTTAACAAGTGTTATTATAAGTATGAAAAGTAAACTTATAATCAATTTCTAATAATAACTTGTGTCTTTAATATGTCTTTGGTGTATGGGTGGACTATATGTCAATACCAAACCCAGCATCACTTAATTTCCCAACATAAATTCAGAGCTTCAAGGACTCTGGGACTTAAGGTTCTGAACACACAGCTTTGGTGTGAGATATCATTTGCTCTACTGCTTGACCACAACTTCCTATTCAATAAATATACATTTGATTAAATAATTAATTGCGTGTCAACATGTAATGTACCGTAGAACCTGTTTACTCTGACTTCAGCCTGCTTTTCTTTTTGGATTTGCTTCCATAGCCTTTGTAAACCAAGAACTAACTACAAGGCAGCAGTTGTTTGATTTTGGAGTTACCTCTCCTAGATGGGTTGCTGGCCACAAATATCAAGCCCATGGAACAAACTCAGAATTGTTGGAGTTAGCCATCATGTGTGCTCCCCCTGCCTGAGATTATCCATAGTTTCTACACTAAAGGTTCCTGTTGGTCTCACTGATGAAAACATAACTTTACCATAATATAAGATGAATCCGCTTGTGTAGCTTCTATGGGCTTCCAGCCATCAGACTGATCTCCCTCTTTAGGTGTGTTTAAGATGGACCTGTCTGTGGTGTGGAACATTTGGTCGCTGGATGAGGTCATCATGACATTTGGCTTGTTGGCAATCATTGGTTCAGCTCGACAGCCTAGGAGTGTCAAATGTTAATTAATATTTTAAATATTGTTTTTTGTTGATAACTGTTTGTTATAACACAATATTTTGCCTGTCAATCATCAGGTGTGTATTAATTAATAGTTACATAATCAACATATAACACTAGTATGTCAACTATTTAAACATTTGAAACTATGTTAAAGCTAACGACAGAAATATCACAAAAGCATTTTTTGAGTTTAAAATGTAGATAGGCCCACGATTCATAATAAAGGTGAATTTTAATGCACTTTATTTGATGTGTGCTAAGCATTTTGCTTTAATCATTTTACTATTTATAAGTGCATTAATGGACACCACCGAGTTGACAAGAATCCTTCCATTATATTGTTGAAATTGATTAAAAAAAACATGTTTTTTTTTTAGATTTTACAATCAAAGCAACTTTAAAACTAATAAAAAATAAAAATTATGCCTAAAAATAACTCAGAAATTTAATACTTTTAGAATCAATGTTATAAAGTTGCAAATCCAGAGAACTGGAAAATAATTTTTTGAGTTTAAGGCTACAATTGTAATTATTTTCATCAAGCCTAAGTTATAACACGTTTTACTTTTGTAACATAAATATTGCTTGGCTGTACAGGAACTCTTTGATCAAATTTCTGAGCCCCAAATATCAGTTGTTTACAAAATTTTGTCAATAAAGTTTTTAAATAAAATTATACTATTTGAAACTACATGTCCTATTTCTGCAATTTTAAAATTTTTTTTGTATGATAACATTTATGCTAGGCTATCAAATGGCAGAATGTCTTTGTTTATATTGCCATTACCACATGAAAACGAAATTACTTTTGCCTTTTTAAAAAAAATTGTGTTTGATTGCCAAAAAAGCTAAATGTCAAATACATCCACTCTTTTTTTAACGTAGGTATCATAGCGCTCACTGGATAACCTGGGGCACCAGATTGCACTCTACTGAAATTTTTTTCCCACCAGGAGTATTCTCAACAACGCCATGGGGCATGCTATATGAAAGCCTTCAGTGTATGTTAATCACCTTTTCGGTGCCGACCATAGGAAATTTTAATTTTTTTTTTCGCAGAAATCTTCTCTGGAGTGTTCTCATCTACTCCCCAAATTTTCAAGGCTCTCGGATGAATGGTGTCAAATCAATTTTAACTTATATTTTTTATATACTATATATTGAAAAAAATCCCACAGGACACTGCCATTGCAAAATTTCAAAAAAAAGATTTTTATGCAAAACCTCTACATCAACTACCCAAAATTTCATGGTGATTGGATGAATGGTGTTAAGCCGCAATTGAATTTATTTTTATAAACTGTGTATATCAAATCACGCCCTGCTGGGGCGCCACCCCTGGGAATTTGAAATTTTTTTCTTAGAAAACTTCCCAGGAGTGTTCTCAACAACTTCCCATAGTTTCATGGTGATTGGATAAAGTTGTATCAATGCATAAAGACAGACAGACAGACAAATATTGCCTTTTATAGTAATAGATAACTTTTAGTTACAGCATACGTAATTTAAAAAATATTTAATGGACCTCTTGGATAATTTTGAGGCTATTTTCTGAGTCTATTAGACTTTGTTTACAGTGTATGGCTATTTGTGGCTAAAGTAAATATTGCATATGTAATCGCATGATAGCTCACAGATGAACAATAATTCATTAGCCATGATGATCCACCAGATAAGAAGGGTAACTTTACTAACTTATTCACACTATGTAATATTTTTATGAATAAGCTATCTTTTCATTAAATCAAATTCTTAGCTGTGAAATCTGTAAGAGGCAGCTTTCATTAAAAACATTAAAAAAAAAAAAAATTGTAATCACCGGTGGAACAAACCAGGACATCAAACTTGAGGGCAGCAACCAGATTTTTCTCCACCACAACCAACCTGACAACCCTGGCCAGAACACTGGACCCCAAGTAAACTGTGACCATTGGTGAGTTGGCGGTCACTCCATCAAATATCTGGATAAAGTTAATGGTAGCTCAATCTTTTTGTGTTGTGAAAACCATTCAATTTAAATATAATTCCTACGCATTAATTTTGTCAGATGTTATTTTTTAATACGATATTGCCTGCTGAGCACATATACACTTATCAGAATAAACCTAGTTTAGATGCTTTATTTAAAAATAAATGAATAAACAAACTAAAAAAGATATATATATATATATATATATATAAATTATGCATCTATTTAATGCCAGTTTGTCAGTCTTAGATACATACGCGTGGTTGAGAATATGGTTCTGTGTAGTTGACAAAGTCATTTATAGCACCATCCTGACTGAACATTAGGGAGAATTTGGTGACATAGTTGTTCACGGCAGAATTTTTTAGAATGCTGACACCTCTCACAATTCTGTCTTTACCTAGGTCAACCTGTTGCAGAGTTTCAATTACGAATCATAAAATTTCAATTTGTGCAAAACATGAGGAGGAAAAATATTTTACAGTATTTTCTGGTTAACACTTTAGAAGAAATTTAAGATATCAAATTAGAATTTTTCTAAAAGATATTTTTTAAAAATAAAGTAAATAAATAAATATGCAAAACAATGAAAATGTAGGTCTTTGATCTCTGTTAGAATTGTTTCATAAAGTTTAATTTAAAAATTCTATAGGCCATACCTTTTAAAAAAAAAAGGTAATGTTTTTTTCCCCATAATGTTGCATTCAGCAGTTAGATTTCTAAGAACAATCTATTTCCCTTGACCTAGATATATCACATAGTTCCAGAATAAACCAGATCAACATTTTATTTTACCTGTATCCATGGATTCAAATCCTGATCCTCAGGTATCCAATATTGCGGATATTTGTTTTCTTGCACTGGCCTTAACCTTGCATTCCAGGCCTCATGGCCCAACTTGGCAGATGATGATGTGATCTGTTGATCACTGACAATCAGAGGACCACTCATGGCATATTCTGGCTCACACAAATCTGCAACAGAACCAAAATAGGAGTTCTTACAAAACATTTTTCAAGCTCTTGAGCCAATAAATAGATTATAATTAGTTATGAATATTTAAATATTTTAAAGAAAATTGTCAGGGTTTTTTTAAAGATGCTCATGTCTTATGTGGCTAAGAGAAAACATAAGCAGAATTTAAGCTGTTTGTACTGGAGGTAATTATGAAAAAAAATGGCAGAATAATATTCGTCTTTTAAAAATGAGGCTTTTTTTTTTAAATTTACATTTTTGATAGTGAAAGCATTTTAAAGCAACACAAGCATGCCATTGCAAACTGCAATAATGTAACATAAATCAACTGTATTTTTCAGGGTGTGTTACCTAACACCGCGTTTACACTTACGACAATGTTACTAGACTTGACCTACTAAAGTGTATACTAAACATGTTACGAGTATATGGAACATCTTCTGAGTCGCAGGGCACAAAACCACGCCCCTTTTTGTGTTCTGGGTCAAGTTTTTGTCATCGCTCGCTGAGCGAAAACATTGGACATGTTCTGAATTTTCAGATGAGTGCGCATGCGTCAAAAGTAGTAAGCGCATCATAGGTCTCAGCTGATTGCAAAATTAAATATAGATTCTATAATGATTTTGAGTTTTTGAACACACGATTTCATAATTTATAATTTCTCTAGGCCCTGCTAAAATTTACATTTTTATCATTTCTTTTTATTTCTTTAATTAAATTCCAAACACGTTTTAATGAAATAATATCTAAGGCATTATAATTTTGCCTTAAAACTGTAATGGATTGACGATAGAAGCATGTGGTTGTATATAAAACGTTTATTGGCCTTCAACTACCTGATGATAACAAGAGAGGATGGAAGTGACGAGAGACAAAGATATATATACATGTAAGGGACATCACTCAAGATAACAGTATAAATATAATACTAATACAAGAAGAGTGAGTTCCCTTGACTTCACAAGTCTCACTATATTACATCCCTTTACCCTTAGTAAACACAACACATCTCTCAATAGAACAATTTGCAGTATCCTAAAATCACCAATTATATTGTAACATGAACACTATGGTAGATTACATCCTTACAAACAATGCACAATATGTTACAACATAATTAAAATACAAAACAATGATGTCAAAGTCCTTTTGACCTTTAAAATCATAGGTCTAACTTATTTGGGACTTTGATTGTCCTGCTTGACCTTCTCAGTGGCTTTTGATTTGGTGACTCAAGATTCTGACCATCTGGATTCTCTATCTCAGGAGGTCTAGGATCAAAATCATTAATTCCAGAATTTACATTTTCTGACTCCAGACTACTTGGTTCACTCATATCAACAGAACTTGGTTGTGGAACAAACTGAGTTGGTGTGAACTGTTCAGATTTGGTGGGATTGATAGATTCACACTTATTATCTGCACAAGTTATTTTTAACTGGTCTGCATGTCTACGGACAATAAGTCCATCATTTGTTTTTACTTTATAAGACACAGGTCCTGTACATTGAACAATTTGACCTGGTATCCATTTTTCCTTTCTCCCATAATTTCTTAGATACACATTCTCATTAACTCCAAATTCTCTTTCAATGGATGTCTTGTCATGATTTAATGGAACTATTTTTGAATTGGCATCTGAAAGTATTATGCTATTATTCAGATCCTTAACTGACAGATTTCTTTGATTGATCAATTTTCTCAGGTAATCTGATAGTGCTTTTTAGTAACCAAAAATACTGTTTAAAAGTAATATCCTGGACCATATCACTTTGCAACTGTGATCCAGTATTTGAAGTGGGTGTATTAAATGGCAAAAATCTTTTTTTTTTTTCTTTTGATGTTACCCTTTTAGTTTCTGTAAGTGCTAATGATGTTAGCAAAGTTGTTTGATGATCACATTCCTTCTTACTAATGTATTCTCTTTAAAAGCATTTGAAATTGCCATATCACCATAATCATTTATTAAGTTACAAATACTTTGTTTAGGCAACTCTGACTGATAATGGACTGCATCTTCTCCATCTTTTATATTATCTTCACAAAGGTTTTTATTTCTTATTTTATATGGCCTTAAGTCATCATTCACAGACTCTTCAGGCCAACCATTCTTACAGTACTCATATACTTTTATTAAGCACTCATCTTTTTGTGTTTCTCTTTTAATATCATTCACATTTATATTGGAGTTATCCATGATAGCGAAGAGAACAAATACATCTTCTGGTACATAGCTAAGGCTTTGGTTTTTTAAAGGTAATCTACTAAGACTATCTGCACTATTCTCAGATCCAGGTTTGTATTTCAATTCATAATTGTATGCAGTTAGTGTGATAGCCCATCTTTGAATTCTTGGTGAGGCATGCTCAGGTAGGGTTTTGTTTTCTCCAAATAAACCTAGCAATGGTTTATGATCTGTAAAGATGGTGAACTTCCTACCAAACAGAAACTTATGAAATTTCTTAACACCAAAAATGATGCCTAAGCCTTCCCTATCTAACTGAGAGAATAATTTTTCTCAGCCTGGTTCAAAGATCTACTGGCAAAAGCAATGGGTCTGTCACCCTTTTCATCTATGTGGGATAAGACTGCTCCTACACCATCAGGTGAAGCATCACATGTTAAGATAAGTCTTTTCCCTGGGTCATAGTGAGTTAGTAAGGTGTCAGAAGACAAAGCTTCTTTTGCTGTATTAAAAGCAGCTTCTTGTTGTTTACCCCAGTGCCAAGTTGCATTTTTCTGTAGCAGCTTGTACAGTGGTGATAGTTTACCAGACAGATTCCCTATGAACTTTGCATAGTAATTTATCAAGCCCAAAAAAGCTCTTAGTTGTTGGGTATTTTCAGGTTTGGGTGCTTCTTTAATGGCTTTTGTTTTCTCAGGTTGAGGTCTGATACCTTGCTTGCTTAATATATAACCAAGAAAACTAATTTCTGTCAGCATGAATTGACATTTATCTTTGTTTATCTTTAAACCTTTTTCACCAACTATTTTCAAGACTTTATCAAGTGTTTTAAGATGTTCAGTGTCATTCTTACCAGTTATGTACACATTGTCAAAGTAAACACAAACATTTGGAATATCCCTAAAAATACTGTCCATGACAGCCTGGAAAATTCCAGGGCTGGATGATATACCAAAACATAGTCTTTCATATTGGTAGAGTCCTTTATGTGTGTTTATTGTCGTATAGACTTTTGAATCTGGATGCAGTTCTAGTTGAGTGTAAGCATGACTAAAGTCTAATTCAGTGAATTTGTCTCCTCCTGCCAAATTCAAAGAAATTTCCTCAATGTTAGGAATAGGGTACCTATTTAGCTCTATTTGCTTATTCAGTGTAGCTTTATAGTCTCCACAAATTCTTACAGAACCATCCTTCTTTAACACTGGCACAATGGGCGTTGCCCAATCGGAATAGTCTACCTTCTTTATGATGCCATTAGATTCCAATCTACTTAGCTCATTTTCAATTTTATTCCTCATTGCATAAGGTGGAACTCTAGCTTTGCAGTATCTTGGATTTGTGTCTTTAATGCTTATCTTCACTGTTCTATCATTTAGTAATCCAGGATTACCAAAAACACATTTATTTTCAGATATAACTTTATCTATTGAAGTAAGACTAGATTCTCTTGCATTGTTCAATGAACATATACTCTCCCAATTTAACTTAAGATCAACTAACCAGTTCCTACCTAGTAATGGTGGTCCATTTCCTTCAACCACAAGAAGAGGAAGTTTAACACTTTGACCATTATAACTTACATGAACCATACACTCTCCTATTACCGGAACATTGTCACCAGTGTATGTTGTTAAACACTTGTGACATGGTTGTAGAGGCACTGATCCTCCTGTGACAGCGTCAAAGTCCTTCTTTGTGATGACTGTTAGAGATGCTCCAGTGTCAAGTTGGAAGCTGATGCTCTTACCGTTGATATAAACTGGTACATTGATGGGAGCATGACTTATTGATTTCACAGAGAACAGGTTGAAATCCGGCTGCGAATCAGTTTGAGCATTTTCACAGGTAGAGTGGTTCATTGGTTGGGTTAGGTAGTCTTGGTGAGAGTTAACATAGTGCTGCCTTTGGTTGCGGTACTGTCTTGACTGGCTAGATTTAGCAACAGACGAAGACTTTGCAAAGCAGGCCTTAGCAATGTGACCTTGCTTACTGCATTTATAACAAGTTGCTGACTTGAACTTGCATTGATGAGATGCATGGGGACCGTTGCATCGATGACATTTTTGATAATTATTACTAGATTTAGATCTAGGCTTTGAACGTGCAGGCTGTTTAGCATAAGTTGAAATGCTCTGATGGGGTTGGTGTTTGTTGACTAACCTGCTGGCTACTGCATGGATCCCTGAGGGCGTTAGAGATCTCGCCGCATCAGATGACTGCTGGAATGAAGTTGCTAGTTGTATTGCTTTTTCTAATGTTAGATCTGACTCGAGAAGCAACTTTCTTTGAACATCAGGGCTGTTTACACCTGTCACAAACTTTTCACATAGTCTGTCAGACAGCGTGTCTCCGAATTCACAAAATTCACTTAAATGACGTAAACCAGCAACATATTCTGATATTGACTCGTTTGGTTGACGAGTCCTACCGTCAAATCTAGCTCTACATAGAAACTTTGATGGGGTAGGCGCATGGTGGTCTGTTAGCAATTTGCTCAGCTCGTTAAAGCTCTTGGTATCTGGACTAGCTGGTGCGCATAAGTCCTTTAGTAGCCTAAATTGTTGAGGCCCTATGACTGTTAACAAAACAGCTCTCTTTTTGGCTTCTATCGTCACGTCGTTAGCTTCAAGGTAAAAGCTTAACCTATCTAGATAATCATGAATGGTTTCATCATTTGAATCAAATTCTTTTATTTGGCCATACAGCGCCATTATTCTAGAAATACTTAGCCAATATGCTCTAGCAAAACTCTTTTTGAGTAAGTAGGTGCTCTTTCTAGTGGATTATTTATCCTCGTCGTCAGATGTAATGGATTGACGATAGAAGCATGTGGTTGTATATAAAACGTTTATTAGCCTTCAACTACATGATGATAACAAGAGAGGACGGAAGTGACGAGAGACAAAGATATATATACATGTAAGGGACATCACTCAAGGTAACAGTATAAATATAATACTAATACAAGAAGAGTGAGTTCCCTTGACTTCACAAGTCTCACTATATTACAAAAACCAGTTTAGGTATTAATTACGAAAATATTAATTAATTTAAAAATATAATTGAACCAAATTTATCTCCAATTTTTTCTTGACCAACATATTTTCAGTTTCCGTCTGACATGAATAAATCTTTATGCCCACCAGAATGTGCTCGTGGGATCACACATAATCAACTGACTATAAAAATAGGCAGATAAAAAATTCATAGGCTAATTATTTAGGTTTAAAATGGGACATAATTAACATAAAGAAACGAATTGGGGTGGGGGGTATGTCATAGGCCCTACTCTAAAAACTACATCTACTTTTATTCTGAATAATAGACTCAGTATAGTGATAGCACGATCACAATACTTTAAATGAACTTGGCAGATGCAAGTTTTCGGAGAAATCGGACCTTTACTTTTAGCAAACAAATATTTAGCCCTGTTTAATGTAAGCTGTTTCTGAAGGATATAGACTAGCAATTAAAGAAGCTGGGGAAATGGCTACCATGCGGTTGGGGTGGGAAAGGATGATTGTACTGCGGATGGGAGGGAGGGGTAATAACAGGTGGGTAATGTCTACGACCCGTGGTATTATACACAGCATTATATTTATAAAAACTGTCTAGCTCCAGTAGCTGGCATAAAATTTATAAAATCTTGCATGTTCTCTAATTTTTAGATTATTCATTGTTGAATCGCAAGCACCGTGGCTACACCATTTTCCTTTAAAAAAAAAACAACTGTGTGCCCACTATCTTTTTTTTTTACTTTGATTTCTCTTTATTTAATTATCCGGGCCTATATAGCAGACGCTCCGGGTCAAAGGTCATGCTCGTTTTATAAAATGTTCTATAACAATGTTCTAGTGTGAACGCTAAAGTATACATGTTCTGTGAACAAATTGTTTCAAGACAAATTTTATTTTGGCGGGCTTTGTGTTCCGGAAATGTATAGTATACATTGTCGTAAGTGTAAACGCGGTATAAGGGAAACTCTTCACTCATCAGCTTTTATTTCTGAAGCTCATTTTGAAGTTTTGTGAAAAATAATAAGTGAAACAAAATAAAAGTAGTTTCCAACCTTCAGCACAGCCCATTAACTCTATCTGTATAGCAATGCCATAGCTCCACTCAACTGGCCAGATTTTTACAGATTGGGCTTGGATGTCACCCATGAGGAAAATGGACTGTGTACTGTCAGGAGTGGTAACTCCATCAAAAATCTTTTTAAAAAAAGTATTAAAACAGTATTACAACTTTCTTTTTCTAAAAATACAACTATTGGTGTAAATATATTTAAATTTTCTTATTATGTTTAAAAAAATATGAAAAAAGGCCTCTGTGCCTACTGTTGTTACCATTATTGAATAAATAAATAAATGTAATACCCTATTCTTAATACCAGCATTGGTTTCAGTTCAAAAAACCTGATCATAAGCAATTACTACAGAAAAAAAAACCATCTTGATATAATAAGCCTACTCTAAAGTCTTGTATACAAGCATAGGTAAAATAAAAAAAGTTTGAGGATACCCCTAAAGAATGCATTTACCAATTTTACCACACAAACCTCCTAAACTAACAGCTTTAAAAAAATATAATTAGAAGAATTTTCTCTAACTCCAGCACTATCAGACAGCTCACCTTAGGATTTCTGTTACTGTCACTGACCCAATACCAGTCTGACGACGCATCGTACTGATATTCCATTTTAAACTTGGAGACATATTTGTCAGTTGAATCTTCCCCTCCTAAATTTATATCTGTGATGGTCACAGGGGAGTGGAATGAAATCTGAAGCCACTCGTTAGTGCTGTCATTAGCTGGGACCCAGGCACCTTTTACATTAAAAATAATCAGATTTTTATATGCATAAAATATAAAGAATTCAATATTTATAACACAAAATCAAACAAAAATTTTTGTCATATGTCACTATAAATTTTGTTAAAGTGATTTTGTTTGATTAAAAAGTGAAAAAGCAGCACAATGTTTAAAAGAGTTTCAATTAAAAAAAAACAACCCCATTTCAATCAATTAGTAAATAAACAATTTTTCTATACTGAAAAAAAAAAAAAAAAAAAACATTATATTTATTCAAATCTACCATTGATATTCATGATTTATGTTTAGGTGTAAAAACAAATCGTACAGTGTTCTCATGTACATGAAATAAGCGAGCTGATTCTACATAAAACTTCTGTTATTAACAAGTTTGTGCCTAGAAAAATGTCAATACAAACGTGTGTTTGAGGTTCCCATTCTACAGTCCTCTGGTCTGTGTTGATCATCTTTGTAGGAAGAAGCTGAGAAGCCACTGGGGAACTGAATGCTGTGAAACCCAGAGATGAGTTCTTGTGAGACGCAGGAACCTTCAAGGTAAAACAATTGGTTAAATATATTGTGTTTAAGTAATAAAATGAAAAAAGATTTTCAAGCCAGTTTTTTAAAAGCAACATGTAAATTGTTTTAGCTTTCAAATCCTGTACACTAAGAAAATTAATACTTTATTTTAAGGAGATATTGCATTTAAAGGTTAAATAAAAAGATAGAAAAAATATCTTAAATGATGTTAAAGATTATGTTTTTAAATAATAGAATGAAAAAGATTCTCAAGCCAGTTTTTGAAAGACGTATGTAAATTATTTTATTTTTATACAATATACAATATCTCATTAAAAATAAAATAAAGAACTAATTTTCTTAGTGTACAGGATTCAAAAACTAAAAATTATTTAGTATTTTTTTAGGAGATATTGCATTCAGGGGCGGAACTACAGTGCCGCCAGACCCCGCAATGCGGGGGGGCCCAGGCCACTTAGGGGCCCAAAGCCGACCAGAATCTACTTTTTTATAGTTTAAAAAAATTGTTTTTTTTAACAAAAACAAAAAGAAACAGATCTACTACAGTAGTGATGTTCTACAGTAGCTAACACACGCTGTTTCATAAAGGCAAAACATATGTAGCTACATGAGTTGTAGTGTGAAAGAAAGGCACACGTTCAAACAACTTCCATGATTTATTTCCCTTTTTTAAATAGTGAAATATGTGTGCTCTCAATTAAGAAACTTTTTTTGTACTAAACAAATTAAAAAGCAAGTAAATCTCTTAATTATTATTTAAAAAAAAATAATAATAAAGAATGACATAGTATAAAAGGAAATGTATTAAAAACTAATAATATAAATACAAAAATACTTAAAAATAAACATAAGACGAGAAACCATTACACATAAAAAGCTTTCATGCTTCATATTCAATTGACCGCCTTGTATATTAGGAAGCACCATGTTAGACATTTAAATAGAGAATTTCAAAACACACTAATAGCACTAACACAAATGATGTGTTGTTGTAATATGTTTTAATTAAAAATTAAAAACTAAGAATTTTAATTTTTCAAATTTATAACAAGCCCATATTGAGTACTTCATGTTGATATTTTCGTATTTAGTTTATATATATATATATATATATATATATATATATATATATATATATATATATATATATATGAGGCCCAAAATTTTTTATTGCGGGGTGGCCCTTTTTTTCTGGTTCTGCCACTGATTGCATTTATAGGTTAAATAACAAGATAGAAAAAAAAATTCTTAAATGATGTAGCTACTTGAAATAGAGTAAATTCACATTGAAATATATTTTAAATAGATCCATAGGTTGGCCTTACCCACATTACAATGTTTTAGATACTTACTTGTAGAAGGTGTTTTAGGAAACTCAGTGTTCTCATTTGCAAATGCTGTATAATTTAAAGGAGGACAAAATTTGTTTACTTTCTTAAGTTCATTACTCATAAATTACATTACAAATATACTTAACAATAAAGCAAAACCTATTCATATTTGGATTTAACTGAGATGTTAAATGATTAAACAAAATTAGCTGTTAGTTTATCTTGTTAATTTTTAAAAAGTTTTGACAACTAGTATGTGTGATCATTTTTTTAAAATTATGTTTTATCAATATGTATGAGCTCATCTTGTCAGAGAAATTACCTGCTTTTTTACAAATATATCCTAGTCTGTCAGAACATGGCCTCGCTTCCCACTCAAATCTTCTGGCCACTGGCATGTAGCCACAGTTATCTCCCCCAGTGCTGTCATAATGAGGCTGACCTTAAAACAATGCAATGTTTACTTAGATAAGATAAAGATTTCATAGAGTAATTCAAATCAAATTATTAAACTTTCCCACAATTGTATTATAAAGATGGGTTATAAAAAAATTAAACAAAAAAAAATGTAATTCCAAATTAAGTCAGACACAACAAAAGTAATCCAGTCCATCATAAACTTTGTCAGACATCACAAAAGTAATCCAGTCCACAATTAACAATCTAACAAGACAAAAACAATCCAGTCCACAATAAACAATTTCAGATGTCATAAAAGTAATCCAGTACACAATAGACTATATCACACATGCAAAAGTAATCCAGTCCACAATAAAAAATGTCAAACATAACAAAAGTAATCCAGTCCATCATAAACTATGTAAGACATCACAGAAGTAATCCAGTCCAAAATTAACAATCTGACATGACAAAAGTAATCCAGTCCATCATTACCTTCTCCCCAGTGGATGTAGCGAAAAGGTTTTTTATCTGACCAGCCCCAACCATGCTTCTCCCACATATCAGCTGCTCCTATCCACAGAGGTTGTTGGAGGTTTTTATAATCATTTGAAGACAAAATGCCTAAACAATGAAACAAAAATACTGTGACTAAAATATTTTACAAAATAATTCACCCTAAAATAATAAATATGTTAACAAATTAAAAATCAAAACATATATTTTTTTTTCATAACAATGTAAAACAACACAAAATCTTTCTTGCAATTAATTCAGCAAAAACTGTTAAAATCATTTAACAAATTAAAAACCAAAACAAACTTTCTATGTATTTTTGCTCTTCATAGCCAGATATACTGAGTAGTTCCCCTTTGTGTGACTGACAAAGTGACCTCGCCTCTCTCCATGGCTTGTGGGCATAAGCTGATATGTAGTAGCACATGTTGGTGAAGTTGCTGTATGTCCATCCCACACCACACTGGTCAGACCACATAACTGTGAGGAGATGTAAGAATATATTTTTATCAGGGTTGTTGAGAAAAATATTTTTTCAAGTAATTATGGGGCTGCTCAAAAACAGAATTTACGTCAACTGGCTGATATTTGCTTTAAATAATTAACAACATAAAAAAATAAAAATAAAAATTTCCTATAAACTATTTAACGTATTTACAATAATTAATTATAATAATTACCACTAGAAGTAACTGCTGATGGTACTATGGGGTTTCCTGAAAAAGATACAATTTTAAATTGTTTTAGTCTACCTTTTAATATTTTCACAAGAGGGCATATATAGTTATAATAGAACCATTTAATTTGAATATATAATAGATTTTTGTGACTTCACTTTTCAAACCCGGCAAGATATACTTTTCCATCAACTCAAATAAAATAAACTTGTTCCACATGTTCCACAAAACAAGGAGGAAGTATGTTAATTAGCAGCCAACAGTATAAAACATAGACCCCATAAACTTGTTAATATTAACTTTGTGAATAGGAAAGTAACACACATGGTTATAAAATTGTCCCACTTTTTTGTATTAATACAAATTTTAACCTGTTGTACATCTTATAAACTGGTGTTGGCATAGAAGTAATTTATAAGTGTGGTAGGAGATTTGATAAGGGGAAGCAATGATAATCTTAGTGCAGTGGGAGTTATGGTTCCTATCCTTTACATTTATGGCATTTAAGACACCTACAGACAATGAAAGGCATGCATAGAGTTTCACTGACCTGCCTTCTGGCAAACAAACTTATGCAGAGAGTCACATTTCTCTCTGGTCCATGAGCCCATAAATGTAGCAGTTGACCCAGCATTGACATACACACACGGAGCTGTAGTCGAGTTGTACATTTGGTTGGGGTCCCAGTTTAAAATCTGAGGCTACAGTGCACCAAAGGAAATGTAAACATTGCGAAAATAATTTTAAACATTGCAAAATACATTTTAATTATAATTTTCTTTTCATTATATACATACAACTATTTCTATCTCTCTAAATCTCATTTATTTGCAGGACTATTTATAAACATATTTAAATCAATATTTGTACATCTCTATATTTTAATGTAATACTTAAAATTAAACCTTGTTAAATATTCCAAAGCTGATCACCATTATCAAAACATTAATTAGTCAAAACATCACATGTTTCACATTCTTACTTTTTTATCACTGTTATCTAACAGGTAACTTTGTGAGGAGATGTCGTACTTGACACCAATCCAATAACTTTCTGTACCACTTGCCAGAAATGGTGAGGCTAAAAAATGTCAAAAATAAAATCTCTGTGCTAAAATAGTTGTTACATTATTTATATATGTCTATTGTGGACTGGATTACTTTTGTGACATCTGACATTGTTTATTGTGGATTGGATTACATTATATGCTGTTAAATATAAATGTTGCGGTTTTATTAGAAATTAAAATAACCTACTAGAAAAAAAAGACTGGTCTATTTGGCTGGTGATAGTTGCCAGGGTGGCACTTTGTTTTTGACAAGCTGTCTGGGCATCTGTGTAGCTTAGCTGGGAGGTTTCTATCTTGTAGCAGGTCTCATGGAACAAGTTCCAGCCTTGGTCGCAGGTAACACTGGCTAGAAACAAACAAGGTTAGAAATAAAGTATGGAAAAGTAGATCTATACTGTATAAAGTGCTGACTACAAACTTTTTCATATGAAACAAACAAGGAAATGCTGGTTAGAAATAAAGTATGGGAAAGTAGATCTATAGGATACTGGATAAAGTGCTGACCACAAACTTCTTCATATGAAATAAACAAGGAAATGTTGGTTAAAAATAAAGTATGGGAAAGTAGATCTATAGGATACTGGATAAAGTGCTGACTACAAACTTCTTCATTTGATGTCAGGGAAACAGGAACTCTACTTCATTTGATGTGTAGACTGTCAGATGTTTAAAAAAGTACATTATTCTTTACCCTATATATTATGATGCTATGCAGAACAATAGAGTAACAACTAGCTTAGTTTGAAGATTAAAGTTCATTCAATTAACAGAAAAATAAATTAAGCTAATTAACAACAGCCAATTAGCCTTTTAGCCACACAGGTATCCATATAACGCCTAAAAATATTCTACCACAAATACGTCCTGCCTAGCAATGAAAACAGTCACAGAACAAAATATTTTTAAAATCCACAAAAGACAAATTGTTTAACTGGCAACAAACCTTTACTTCTAATTAGATCACTATACCTTTCTCACCTGATGTCACCAAACCATTTGTAGGTGGTGTGTGTACGGTGTATACATTAAAGCTGCACTACTACAGCACACTTTTCTAACAAAAGCTCACTCTTCTTACATAACATTTCATAACTATATGAGGTCTTACATAACATTCCATAACTATATGAGATCTTACATAACATTACATAACTATATGAGATCTTACATAACATTACATAACTATATGAGATCTTACATAACATTACATAACTATATGAGATCTTACATAACATTACAAGATATTACATAACATTCCATAACTATATGAGATCTTACATAACATTACATAACTATATGAGATATTACATAACATTCCATAACTATATGCGATCTTACATAACATTACATAACTATATGAGATCTTCTTACCTGATGATGGTGTGGCTATGTTATCCGTCAACAATAAGTGGCAAACAAAATTTTTGGGTGTAAAACAGTACACGGCCAGGTAGTCTTGTCTGTCTGATGCTGTAGGGCAGATAATGTTTGACTTAACCAGATTTTAAAACATGAGCTGATAAGTAATGAAAATTGTACTTAAAGGTTTTAAACGTTATTTGACAATGTGGTCATGCAGTAAAATACACAGTTAATAGCCAGTAAACTTTGAGTTCTATATATTAGCTTGAGTTTATAGCACACCCCTGAGTCGATCCAGCTCTGATGGGTACCTGACTTAAGTTGGGGAAAGTAAAGACAGTTGAGAGTAGTACTGATCACACCCACCCCATGCTTAAATCTAGAAACAGATCAAATCTACTTCATCTTCCCCATTGACAGATTGCTATGAGGGTACTTTACCATTTTTACTATGTACATCAAACATTTTACTCATTAAAATACAGCCTTTATCAATTAAAATACGATCATGGGATTGCGTGGTCTAAAAGTAGAGCATATAAAAACTAACATGTAAGTTTTGATTTCAAATCTGGGTTCAATAAGAAAAGTTCAAAACTATTTAATACAGTTACATTTTTATATATAAAAATATAGTAATTCATTATATTACTGAAGAAAAGAACAACAAATTTAAAATAAAATTCTAAAACCTACCAAAATCAGTAGTGCCACATCGTGAGCTATAGCCAACTATGTTTGTTGTGTCATACTCAATGATCTCATCTGTCAGGATTGTTTTGTCCAGAAACAGATAATTATGATCTGATCCTGAGAAATTGTTGTAAAAATAATCATGATTTGATGTGGGAAAGTGGTTGTAAAAATAATCATGATTTGATGTGGGAAAGTGGTTGTAAAAATAATCATGATTTGATGGTGGGAAAATTGTTGTAAAAATAATCATGATTTGATGTGGGAAAGTGGTTGTAAAAATAATCATGATTTGATGTGGGAAAGTGGTTGTAAAAATAATCATGATTTGATGTGGGAAAGTGGTTGTAATCATGAATTTATGGTGGGAAAGTGGTTGTAATCATGAATTTATGTTGGAAAATGGCTGTAATCATGATTTGATGGTGGGAAAATTGTTGGAAAAATGATCCTGATTTAATAGTGGGAAAATGGTTGTAACAATAATCATTATCTTATCCTGGAGAAATTGTAAAATTGTCATGGATTGAAGAGAGATGCTAGAAAACACTTAGAGGGTCTTGAGGATTTTAATTGTCAGGCCAAGTTTTTAATTAAAGATATTCTGTGATTTCTTGTTTAAATTACTTTGTTTCAAAATAATAACATTCTAGAAAAAATAGGTACTAGAAAGGATTTGAATATTAGCCATCCAACACTTCAGTGTTTGCTATCAGGCAGCTTATACAAACAGTATAAAACACACAGTATGTCTAAGGATTAAACAAGAAAACAGTATTCTTCTGAGCTTAATTTTAACACAAAAAAAAAAAAATCACAACTCCCAGGGATTATGGAATCAAGGGATTATGAGATCATACCACTAAATCCAAGCCAGACAAGAGTGATGTCATTTTCCTGCAACTCTTTGTGCAACATTGTCTTGCCATTGTCTGTTGTTGAACTGGTGACAATAAGACACAGGTGAAAACAGGTTTCATTTATCACACTAATTAGAGTCATGAGGCTGATGTTGATGATCATACTATTCGACCAGAGAGCTGATGAAAAACTAAATCTGGTGGAGAAAACACTGGTCCCACCACTGAACCAACTACAGTACAAATACACCAACTACAGTACCAATAAACCTACTACAGTACCAATAAACCTACTACAGTACAAATACACCAACTACAGTACCAATAAACCCAATACAGTACTAATGCACCTACTATATTACCAATGCACCTACTACAGTACTAGTGCACCTACTACAGTATCAGTGCACCTTCTACAGTACCAATAAACCCACTACAGTACCAATAAACCTACTAGAGTACCAATGCACCAACTACAGTACCAATGCACCAACAACTGTACCAATGCACCAACTACAGTACCATTGCACCAGCTACAGTACCAATGCACCAACTACAGTATAAGTGCACCTTCTACAGTACCAATAAACCCACTACAGTACCAATGCACCAACTACAGTACCAATGCACCTAATACAGTACCAATGCACCTAATACAGTACCAATGCCCCAACTACAGTGCCAATGCACCAACTACAGTACCATTGCACCTACTACAGTACCAATGCACCTAATACAGTACCAATGCCCCAACTACAGTACCATTGCACCTACTACAGTACCAATGCACCTAATACAGTACCAATGCACCTAATACAGTACCAATGCCCCAACTACAGTACCATTGCACCTACTACAGTACCAATGCACCTAATACAGTACCAATGCCCCAACTACAGTACCAATGCACCAACTACAGTACCAATGCACCTAATACAGTACCAATGCCCCAACTACAGTGCCAATGCACCAACTACAGTACCATTGCACCTACTACAGTACCAATGCACCTAATACAGTACCAATGCCCCAACTACAGTGCCAATGCACCAACTACAGTACCATTGCACCTACTACAGTACCAATGCCCCAACTACAGTACCATTGCACCTACTACAGTACCAATGCACCTAATACAGTACCAATGCCCCAACTACAGTACCAATGCACCAACTACAGTACCAATGCACCTAATACAGTACCAATGCCCCAACTACAGTGCCAATGCACCAACTACAGTGCCAATGCACCAACTACAGTACCAATGCACCAACTACAGTACTAATAAACCGACTTCAATACCAATGCACCAACTACAGTACCAATAAACCCACTAAAGTACCAATATCAATGCACCTACTACAGTACCAATGCACCAACTACAGTACCAATGCACCAACTACAGTACCAATGCACCAACTACAGTACCAATGCACCAGCTACAGTACCAATGCACATAGTATACTATTGTACCAATAAACCTACTAATGTCCTACCCCTGAACCTACTACAGTACCAATGCACCAACTACAGTACCAATGCACCAACTACAGTACCAATGCACCAACTACAGTACCAATGCACATACTATTGTACCAATAAACCTACTAATGTCCTACCCCTGAACCTACTACTACAGTACCAATGCAACAACTTCAGTACCAATGCACCAACTACAGTACCAATGCACATACTATTGTACCAATAAACCTACTAATGTCCTACCCCTGAACCTACTACTACAGTACCAATGCAACAACTACAGTACCAATGCACCAACTACAGTACCAATGCACATACTATTGTACCAATAAACCTACTAATGTCCTACCCCTGAACCTACTACTACAGTACCAATGCACCAGCTACAGTACCAATGCACCAACTACAGTACCAATGCACCAGCTACAGTACCAATGCACCTACTACAGTACCAATGCACTAACTACAGTACCAATGCACCTACTATTGTACCAGATGTGAGCCGGATTTGCTGCAGTAATCGGCCGCCATTGGCCAGGTCATCCGCTCCTCGGGTCGAATCTGTAGTTCGTAACACTCCAAGCCATCCTGGAGCCATCCCAGGGGACAGGTTCCTAATTAGATCATGGCCAAACACAAATGTTAACACTGTATGAGATTACTTATATTATTACCTTAACGTTAGACATTTAGAGTTAAATTTGTAACGATGATAATTTGAATTCATTTTTTGTTACCTTCGGGCTTGTGGCATACGAACGACAACTCTTGATTACAATTTTCTGTGTAGTACCCGAATGATGAGTTGTAGGCCCTGGTTGCGACACAAGTTTTATTCGCGTCACTGAAAAAAATGATTAAAACCATTGAAATATTTTTTATTTCCTATGTTTTTGATGTACTGTAAAATATAAAAGAAACGTAAAATACCTTTAAGTTAAGCTCGATAAAACGAAACGAGTTGAATGAGGTTAAGAGATTGGGTTAAAACAAATGCATTGCATCTGCAATGATTAGGAGTAACACAAGTCCTTACTTGGGATTCTTTCAGAATTTTTTTCAGCAGGGTGGTGGGTGGGGTGGGGGGGGGGGCACCTGAAATTTCCGACGATGGACATCGGTTAAATAATATATTATTTCTTAAATAAAATTTAATATTTTTTTTCTTTTTCGTCGGGGTAAAAAAAAAAGGGGGGGGGGGGGGGGTTGGAGGGTGGGGGGGGACAAACGACAAACCCCCTCAGAGTTTCTTAAAGGCATCTCTTCGGCATCTCTCCGCCCCCCCCCCCCCTCCCCCCCCACAAAAAATGAAATTTATATAGAAAATATATACTTTAAACCCCCCCCGCCGGAAATTTTAGTTCGCCCCCCTCCCCCCCCCCCCCGGAGAAAAAAGTCTGGAAGAAACACTGTCCTGATAATGGCTGAAATTACACCGGTCTACACATGACGTGATGACAAAATTTACAATTGTGTTCGTTGTGTTATAAGAATAAACAAACTGAGCCTAGAGTCACGTCTTCTTTATCTCCAAACTAGTTAAATAGACAAAAACAAATTAATTAAGTTAGGTACCCACAGAATAAATTTGTTCCCAGAGCCATCTGCAATCCAGGGTAGGTAATACACGCGTTTTCTGGAACTGGTGTAGAACTGGCCGATGTTGCCCTGGGTGGAAAGTGATTGTTTACATTTGTTACAGAGGGCGATTCAGTTAAACATACTCATAGTAGCTTTCTACAGCAGACATTTTAACTATAACACACACACACACACACACACACACATATATATATATATATATATATATATATATATATATATATATATATATATATATATATATATATATATATATATATATATATATATATATATATATATAATACTTGTTTATTTACCGGGAACGATGTACTAAAATTATGTAAAATTGAAATATAGTTTCCTCTTTATATTGAAAGACAACATCTGTCCTTAATTAAAATTTACGGACCGATTACAAAAATTGACATGATAAATATAATTATTTAACATTGACTATTAATTTTTCTAGTTAATTCCCTTTTTATAGTTATAAAATGTCAAAGGGAGACCACCTCCAACTAGATTCCCAAAAGATATTTAAAATATAAATATATTCAGTTGTAGTAAAATAAAAATGAGGTGTATAGTTTTGTAGTGCTTTGTTTATAAATATTATAAAATGTATACACAATTTTGTCTTCAATTGTTACTTTATAGATTTAATAATAATCAATTGATTAAAAGTATTTTACTGAAAACTCATTACGATGTTATAAACACTGAGATCTTAAAAAAGGGGTATTTAATTGTAGTGTTACTTGTTGAAAGCTAAGTTGAACTAATTTAACAATCCTTTTTTTTAGCTCTACTTAAAAAACCCAAATTCCACCCCGTCCCCCCCCCCCCCCCCGTCCCCTTACCCACCACACAGAGGGAAAAAAGTCCCTTGAATCATCATTTAACTACACATTTGCATTTTCAGGTGTTTTTTTTTTTATTTTTAATATTTTTAAATATTTAGACGATTTGTATTAGATCTATTGATAAGTAAACCGGCTACAGGACATTACCCCCCCCCCGGAAATTACCCCCCCCCCGGACATTCCCTCCCCCGTATTTACCCCCCGGAACAATTACCCCCTGTCAATTACCCCCCCCCCCTCAAGTTAGAATCATAACTCTAACTAGAATTCTATACCTATATACTACTTTAATCCAACCCTTAAGAAAAAGACCAAAACCTAAGCATCCACCTTAGCCTAAAACTTCACACAAAACCAAAACTAACGCTAGACACAACCCTAACCCTAGCTCTAACCCTAACCCTAGCCCTAACCCTAATCTTAACCCTAACCCTAACCCCAACCCTAGCCCTAGCCCTAGCCCTAGCCCTAGCCCTAGCCCTAGCCCTAGCCCTAGCCCTAGCCCTAGCCCTAGCCCTAGCCCTAGCCCTAGCCCTAGCCCTAGCCGTAGCCCTAGCCCTAGCCCTAGCCCTAGCCATAGCCCTAGCCCTAGCCCTAAACCTAGCCCATCTTAAATGAATGAAAGTAGGCTACAAGTAAGAAAGAAATATTACTATTGTAACCCTGTATCAGTCCTAACGAGCCGGTGATGAAAACTGTAATACTAAAGCGAACACACCTCTTCGACCCTGTAAGACTGCTTCTAAAATTGGACACTTGACGAGTTTCAGTCCCCATATATCTGTTTCACACCACACAACTCTACGTACAAAGTGCTGGTTGATGACACAGAACAAAAACGTAAACATTGTCCAACTCACTGTGTCCGTCACATCCAGCCAGACGCTGGAATTGTCTGGAACCAGAGAAGAGATGACCGACAGCTGACCAACGTCTTCTGGTGCCAGGAGCTCGGCGTCAGCAGACTGGCAGGACGCCTGGGCGTCTGTCCAGGTGGCAGGAGGGAGGAGCTTGTAACAGCCGTGGGACAGTGTGACCCAGTTCTCGGTCGTGTCGCAGAGGTCTCTGGAGTCTGAGGATGGGTGGGTTTAGTGGGATAAGTCGTGGGATTAGAGGGATAAGTTGTGGGATTATTGTCGTGAGATAAGTCTTGAGGTTTTTGTGAAAGATCATGGGATAGTGGGCTAGCAAGTGTTTCTTTCAGACTTTTTTCTCCGAGGGGAAACTTGAAATTTTCCTGGGGTGGGGAGGGGGGAGGGCACTGGTAAATGTACGTATTTTCTATATAAATTGTATTTCGTTCGAGAGGGGAGGGGGACGGGGGGGGGGGGAAATAAACTCTAGGTGTAGGCCGTGGGATTTTCGGTAAAGGTCTTGGGATTAATGGGATAAATCTGTTGTGTGTACTAACATATTTTTTGTTAGCCTCTGTCTGTCGGTCAGTCAAATGTCTTACGTGTTGGTATGTCAAATGTCATATTACCAAGATCTCTCTTGCAGAAAGGATGCAACAGTTCTACTGGATTCTCCACTTGCAGGAAAACGTCCGTTTGGCCCTTTAAAATTCTAGCAGCAGTTCGGTCTTTTAACGGGCTCGGCACATACATGACGTAATTTACGCCTGGTTCATTTGGCGTTTGCCAGTGGCTGGAATTAGAAAAAAAAAAGTAACTTCTCCCGCCTTGAAAAAAACAAACATAATTTTTCCGTAATATATCTGTTAATTTAAAACAAAACAAAGGAAAACTCCCCCTGTGGCCATTTTCAGCAAAGTGGCGCCTTTTTGGAAACTTACTCAAAGTTTTAAACAATGATATGTGTTAAAAAATATTTTTGGTCCGCACATCTATGTAAATCACAAGATTTCTTTTCATGCAGCAATTAAGCATTATTGCAATAGTCTAGTACAGGGGTCTCTTTTTTGCCTGTAACATGTGTAATGTTACCATAGGAGTGGGGGGGGGGGGGAGTAATTAACAGAGGGGTAATCGACCAATGTTATAATTTGAGAGAAATATCCAGTAGTTGTAATTGTCGGGGGTTAATGTCCTAGACGTTGCAGATAAAGGGTTAAAACGTACTAAAGCTCAGTGTACTTGGACCCATCCTCCCACAACCAGACGCCGTTTGTGTTGATCAGGCCAGTCCAGCAGTCCGTGCTCAGGTGGGCGGCTTGCATCAAGCTGGACACGAACAGCTGCAATAGGGGGGGGGGGGGGGGTGGCACAAAAAGGTCATTTTCATGTTCATTAAAACAATGTTTCTCTTTATTTCTCTACAACAAATATATTGCATAATTATCATCGTGATTTTTGCATTTTATAGTTCATATCAATTAACGTTATTAACCGTTTAATTTATTTCAAACACCCACCTATCCATCTATACACCCGCCCACCTGTCTACCTACTCACCTATCCACAGACCCACCTATCTACCTAGTACCTATTCACTCACCCACCAACCTACACCCAATGCACCTTCTCGAACCCTCCCTCCCTCCCCCGCCCACCCACCCACCTACCGACTCACCCTACCTATCCCCCACTCCTCCCCTCCCACTCCCCACCCCCCACGTACCCATTCACTTTGGTCAGCCACAGACACCAGCACAGAAGAGTGCCTCATACAGAGACTCCCAGCATCAGATCTGTTCAGCTTCTCCTCGAAGATGTAGTAGCAGCTTTGGCCCCTCTGTACCCAGCCCGAGGGACACACACAGTAGGCTGCAAGTAGAAAAAATGTGTAGACTCTAGCCCAAGGGGATCTTACAAAAAAGCATGTAGACTCTACCCCAAGGGGATCTTAAAAAAACATGTAGACTCTATCCCAAGGGGATCTTACAAAAAACATGTAGACTCTGCCCCAAGGGGATCTTACAAATACAAGGTAGACTCTATCCTAAGGGGATCTTACAAAAAATTTAAAAAAAAATAAAATAAAAAAGATACACTCTACCCCAGGCGTATCTTACAAAACAAACTCTATAGAACAATACATCCACGTATCAAGTTCTTTAAAGTTATAAATGTCAAAGAGTTTACTAGCGGGGCTAACGCCTTTTACTATTAATAAAGTCAAGATTCCTCTTTAAACCTAACGATCCATTGTGCAGATGAAGTAGAGTTCATATGTTTCTTGACCTCGGCATATGAAGGAATACTGTTATTAGTACCCTGTCAAGCCGCCCTTACTTTCCCTAAAGTGAACTAGGTACCCATCACAGCTGGGTGGACTCAGGGACTTTCCGCTGACTTAAACCACGAGACTTTCTGCTTTGCAGTCTAGGATAGGCCGTCCCAAGCTTTTTACTATTGTCTTTAATACAATCTTTAGCAGAGTTTATTCCAGGCATCTCTTCAAGGGTGCAGAGCCCCCCCCCCACCCCCCGAAGAAAGTCTACCCCCTACCCGTGTGCTCAGCAGTATGCTTAGTATGCTTAGTTTTCCTAACGTGAGTCAGGTACACATTAACTGGTGTAAAAATAAAACGCCAGTATTTTAGTTGATCTGCCCAAAATGACAGTATAAACTATTTAACTTTACAGCAATGAAAATTTTTGTACTAAACCGGTGTGGAAATTTTCAAGAGGATGTTTTCAAAATGACACGCTTTTATTTTTTTAAGATGATAGTTAAAAAATGTTGGGACCACGTTGAACAGTGTGTGAAGAACTGAATTTAAGAAAAACGGCTTTGAAATAGGGCGGTCTGCGACTTTAAGTTTGTTTAAAGGTCAGATTTTCTCTGATACTATGTGTTTAAAAAAAATCAAAATGTGTAAAAACGACTTTGAAATAATACCCTGAATTTCACTTATTTCAGCTGTAGTAAAAGTAATTTAAAAAAAAAAAAAAATCTGTCAAAAGATCTGTTTTAGGTTTTCATTAGATTAAGTTTTATTTTAGCATTTTGGTGTGTGTTTCAGTAAATTAGCCCAAAGTAAATTTAAAAAAAAAGTAATTCATAGTTTTTAATTTAACAGACGAGATAGAAAGTCTAATAAAATACTTTCAGGTATAACATATGCAATAACAATTGCAAACAATTGCAAACATTAGGTCTACCTAACAATTAAATTCCGGACATTTAAATAAAATTATATTGGTAGTCGACTACCGTATTGGATTCGTTACAATCCAACATCTTGACTTACTTACCAGGTATGAAAAAACTCGCAAACAAAAACAAAGAAATAATGTTCATGATAAACATTTGAGGTAAAGAATTTTATTTAAAAAAACGTCCACAACACATCTCGGCTATGGACGGACACATTGAACAAGAGGTGTGTTGTGACTTCAGCTATTCTTTGTGGCGTATTTACGGCTATCGGAAACAGATAGTGATTGGTATCTGATACGATTGCTGTGTTGGGCCTACTAAATGCAGCGTGTCATTGTACTAAAAATGTTGTCTATATGAGCGACTGATAACACATAGGTATAAGCAGTGGCGTAGCGAGGTCGGATGTCACCCGGTGCGGCACTTAAGTGTGTCACCCCCCAGAAGCGTAGCGACCCTTCCCGGGTACACACTTTCAAGTTTTCGATTTGCACCCCCCCCCCCCCTCAAACTTCCGATTTGCACCCCCCCTCAAGTTTTTCTCTATTTATTTTGCTATTTTTTGCCTTGGTGTCACCCCCATAAATGGTGTCACCCGGTGCGGTCCGCACCCCCCGCCCCCCCCCCCCTCGCTACGCCCCTGGGTATAAGTGAAATATGAATATTAGATGTTATTGATACGAAGAGATTAAAAATGGGTCCGGGTGATTTTTTAAAAATAAGGGGAAATCACTCTACAAATAAAGATATTTCTTGTTAGTTAGGCCTGATTATAATATCGTCGGAGAAAATCAGAAAAGGAATTAGGAGCTAATTTTTCAATAAAAATCATTGCTACGGTTATCATATTTTTATGTGAGCGGGTGAATGGATTATTTATTTTGTATTATTTTATTATTTTAACGTCTGCTGATTGCGACAAACAGCATATATAACCTTAACGTCTGCTGCATCCCTCACTCACCAGGTGACGTTGCTGCTGTTGATAATTCAAACAATACATTCTTATCAATTCTATTTTTAGAACATTAAAAAAACGTGTGTTTATTTAAAGATCCTTACTCTATTTCATTGTTGTAATTGTTTTACTGAGATACAATGTGCGTGATTGTGAACTTAATACAATACAAGTTATCGCGAAGTGGGTAGTAAGACTGATTCATCCAGTGGAGTAGCTAGGTGAGGGCGGGTGGGGCAGCCCCCCCCCCACAGGGTGCAAATAGAAGTAAAAATTATTAAAAAGCTAATTTTAAGCTGAAGTATTGAATTATTCATAATCAAAGTTACAAAAGTAAACGACTACAATGCTTAAGACAATTTACACAGTGATTTAAGTGTTTTTTATACCGATTTTATAGCACCAAAATAGAAACTGTTACGGGATAACAACTGGTAAAAAGCGTCACAAACCTTTCCTACTTAGAGGTGGTGGTGTTGCAGGGGGGGGGGGGGGGGGGCTGGCGCTTTTTCACAAACAGGAATAACTATATATAGAAATGGACAGAAGGGGTAAAAATTGATAGTCCGCCCCGGGTGCCGGATTTTACGCTACGCCTCTGGATTCATCACTTTGTCATATTGTGTGACAGTATTTTTTCGTGTGCTAGAGTGTTATATTGTGTTATAGTTGTTATATTTTGTGTGTGCGTCTTGTGAAGCAATGTCATGTAATACTTCACTTTCATTTTTCCTCGCAAATATTGTATATACAAAATACTTGTATAATAAACTAATATACTCATAAAAGTGAATATAAAAACATTTTTGTAATTTTGAATATTTAAAACGAATGCAATAATGTATGACGTCATGACATGAATATTCAATAAGTTCGAAACGATGAGAAATTTGTTTTTCATTAAATATTAATTTTTAATAGTTACCTCCCTCCTATTTCTAAACTATTATAAGTCAGGGGAAGTAATAAAGCTGGTTTCCAAAACATGCTAAAAGTAGAAATATATTAAATTGCGAGAAAACAAAAACATTTTTTGCTATCACAAAAAAATTAGTATATTAAAATGTGTATGTAACAATTTTTATTATCCTGATGAATTGCATATTTTAGAGTAATCTTGCGTCTTAAGTATTTTAAAAAAGCATATATTTTTTAACCAACTATGTTATTAATTTAGGAGAGTAACCATTTAGTAATTCTTCTTGCACCTTTTACGGGTTGAACTCTAAATACAAGCTATTTACAAGTTTTTATATTTAACTCACTGTGTCTGTCTCGTCAGTCGTCAGTCTGTCGTAAGTCTAGACCAGGGGTCGGCAACCTTTTGAAGCGGAAGAGCCAAAAGTTACAATTTTCAAATATTCCCTGGTTTTAAAGAGCCACTAACATTTTTTAAATTCAATTTTTTTATTTTTTTATTAAGATTATTAGTATTTGTTCAAGGAGCTGGAGAGCCGCATCTTGATATCAAAAGAGCCGCATGCGGCTCGCGAGCCGCAGGTTGCCGACCCCTGGTCTAGACCAGGGGTCGGCAACCTTTTGTGACGGAAGAGCCAAAAGTTAGCAATTTACAAAATTACCCAATTTAAAGAGCCACTAACATTTTAATGTCAATATTATATTTGTTTAGGATGTTATATATATATATATATATATATATATATATATATATATATATATATATATATATATAATTTAAAGTAAGTAGCTTTAAATAATGAAATAATCTCATTTGTTTTTGTGTTGAGAACGTCAGAGTACTTGAATTTGATTTGAATTACTCAAATCTCTTAGTGAAAACATCCTTCATTTTGTTTATAGTAATGCTGAAGTGATTCATGTTAATAGTAATATTGTTTTTTTGACGATATTTTTTTCAGATTTTTTTGTAATTAAGTAATTTACCGCTCTGCGTTTTTTCAACAACAAAAAAGTATTTATTTGTTTCGAAACAAACCACTTTTTCAAGGCAGGGTTTTCATTGAGATAGGGAGTAGCTAAATATTCTAATAGAATAGTGAATGTTTATTGTGTATATGTATTTTTCTATAGTTTATTACCGAGTTTTTCAGAACAATATTATTATGAGTTTTGAAAATAAAATAATAATTGATATTTTTGCACGGCGCTAAAGAGCCGCATCTTGACATCAAAAGAGCCGCATGCGGCTCGCGAGCCGCAGGTTGCCGACCCCTGGTCTAGACCAGTGGCGTGCAGAGGGGGGGGGCGGAGGAGGCCCAGGCCCCGGGCATCCACATCAAGGGGGCATCCAACGGGGTAAAAAAATAAAAAAAAAATTAAAATTTTTTTTTTTTTTTTTTTAGGAAAGTTAAAAGTCTTCTTAGGTTTGTCTACCTAGGCAGAATTATCAATTTGCCGAATTCACCGAAATGTGTATTTACAATCAACAAAAGTCATTGGTGAAGGGTAGTGGTGTAGTAGTCATTGATATTCCCCTAATAAATGTATGCAGTCTTTCAATTAATAGAGTATCTGATACTTATTTAGGTATAGTGTAGGTAGGAGCATCTTTTAGAGAACATGCCCATAATCATTTTATACACTTATGGTCATCCATACAGTATTAAAGCCCATGATTATAATTTACACACTGTAGGGGCATCTTTTAGAGAACATGCCCATAATCATTTTATACACTTATGGTCATCCATACAGTATTAAAGCCCATGATTATAATTTACACACTGTAGGGGCATCTTTTAGAGAACATGCCCATAATCATTTTATACACTTATGGTCATCCCATAGAGTATTAAAGCCCATGATTATATTTTACACACTGTAGGGGCATCTTTTAGAGAACATGCCCATAATCATTTTATACACTTATGGTCATCCATAGAGTATTAAAGCCCATGATTATATTTTACACACTGTAGGGGCATCTTTTAGAGAACATGCCCATAATCATTTTATACACTTATGGTCATCCCATAGAGTATTAAAGCCCATGATTATATTTTATACAATGTAGGGGCATCTTTAATGTTATTTTGCTTATATTCATCATAATAGTTTTGAAGGGCATCCAAACAGTAATTATGCCGGCATTCATTTTATATATCGTCAGGGCATCTTTAAAGTAATTTACTTGTATTCACGTTTGTATTTATATAATTACAGCAATTATCCCATATTCGTTTTATATATTATCGGATGATATTTATTTTGCTTATATTCATTATTGAATGTCTGAAGGGCATACATACAGTAATTATATGCCCATGTTCGTTTCATATATTATCGGAACATTTTTATTATGTTTCTATTCATTGCATGATGTTTGTAGGGCTTCCATACAATAATTATGCCCATATTCATTTTGATGGACGTAACGGCATTCGTAGAGTGACTAAGCACATAGCCTGTTGTTGTTTTTTTTTATTGTAATTATGATCTTTATAATATTCATGACCATATGGATTTTTGTTTTTTAAATATTGTAGGGATTAAATTCAAACTAAAAAAGTGCGTACTGTTTTGATACAGTGGGCTGAGTTCACTTCATTGTAAAGTTGTCCTGAAGTCTCACACGTCTTAATTACCGGCATTCACGGCCGCCCGGTAGTCCCGTCGAGAAACACAAAGGTGTAGCTGGCTGTCACTTTGTTCCCTCCCTCAATTTAGACAAACCTCCTATTGTACTCGAATCTGGAGACTGTTTTTTTTTTCCATCCGATAAGCATAAATTTAAATGCACAATCTGCGTGATCTTTTACCTCACCACACCAACTTTCACCCACCCCAAAGCACTACTCATTATCTTAATTGGGGGCACATAATATAGACCTAGTTTTATTTCAACTAATAGTAGAGCCATCTGTAGAGTAATTGATCCCAAATTGATGTAATGAAATGTGGGGGTGGGTTCAGGCCATGGTCAACATTAGTGGATTTCCCCCCACCTGAACTGGACAGAAGGCGTTACCGGGTTTTAAATTTGGCAATACAAGTCCAAGTTGTAGGGAGGGTCTGACATAGCGAAGTGAATGGTTAGACACGGGCCGATGTTTTAGAGTACCTAGCATCACATCTCCTTAAAGCATTGACCTTTTGACCGAGTGGTTTAGAGATTTTTAAAATCTGAAACATCTCTAGTTCAATGCACACTCTAGGAATTCCTAAATAGGCGAAGAGAGAAACATCCCATAAATAAAGGCGTGTCTGACGCGACGCCCTAATTGTAGACACGGACGTTTTTGTACCCTCGGTGCCGGGCGGTAATACAAAACCGGATGAGACTCTTTTGTAGTGCATCACAGCC